TTTCATTTTCTGCTTTGTGACAAGTGAAAATAAGGCAGGCCATGAGACATGATTGTTATATTCGTACGACTATTTAGTGAATGGGTGGTTGGTGATAACAATTTAAATCTTTGATCAGCAGAGAGCGAGCAGCACGCAACGTCGGGGCATGAGAACTAAATCTAATCACTAGGTTTTTATTTTCTTTGATAAGAAAATAAAATTTATTTCATATAAACAAGGTATGATGATGATGGAACAGAAGACACAATCAAGTATTCCTATATATACCAATGTGTAAAACGCGCGCGCGTGTGTGTGTGGTATCATAAATTATAAATTAATAATTCTCATCATAAGATTAAATTATGGATTGCCTTTCTTTCATTGTTGTGCTCTCTTTCTATTACATTCCAAAATCTCCCTATATTTCTCTCGCTTCGTGCATTTATATAATCTACTGAATAATCTTTTTTTCTACACATATATTTTTTATTGTTACTTTCGATTTGCTAGTTATTATTTTGAAAATTCTAAAATTAAGCACCAAAAGACTGATACTGATACGTGATCTTTTTAACCCTTTCAGTGTTATTGTCGAATATATTCAACATTTAAACGTACTCTTTCTTTGCGATTTTTCGGTTATCCTATGTACCGTTACTATTGATGTTCTTATTTTTGCTGAAAGACAGACGAAACAGGACGAGGGTTAAAATGACAGTTGCTATTTTTTCTAAACTATGTCCCTTTAGATTTTTATTCCGACAAAAATTTTTGACACTGAAAGGGTTAAGATAATCGGAAATTTTAATTGAACAATAAAAACATTGAAGGAACATCTCTTTATATGGGATTGTCCACAATTCGATCTAGATCCTAAAGCCTAGCCCAGAAAGCGCAGTATAAACAAAAAAGTTAAGTGTTTTGGAAACTCTGTTACGAACACAGCTTAAATGTTATTTCTATCTGGCAACTCCTTTATATAGAAACAGGTGTTCAAAAAATATAGATATTTTTTGGTAGGAAGATTTAGCCATGCCCATGCTCCCTAAAATATCGAATAAATTGGGATACCTCTATATGGGGGCTACCCTAAAAACTAAACCAATTTTGATAATATTTTGTGTGTAAATGTTTGTCAATCAAAGAGAACTGAAAATATCAAATTTCGAGCGAAATCGCTTGATAGAAGTTCCCAAAATCTGGAAATTTTGGGAAATTTGGGATTTTTTTGGGGTACAGTCATATGGGGGCTCCCCTATAAAGTGAATAAATTTTGATATGTTTTAGTAGGAAGATTTGTTAACCAGAGAGAACTTTAAGAATCAAATAACAGCCTCTTCAGATGGAAAACATGCCAAACCTCCAGAAAATTTGTAAGGTTCGGTTATATGAGAGCTATCTTTAAAAGAAGACCGATTTTATCCTTTTTGGTACGACGATGTGTCACCCAATGAGAATCCAAAATTCCAAATTACAACCATTTCGGGTTTTTCATGTCAAACCAAGGCTTGCGGGTTTTAAAGAATATTTTTTCCAAGTCAAATAGTAATAGCGTCTATAAATGCTCGATTAAGGTAGTATATAAAGGCTCTCCCTTCATGTCCCCTATAAAGACTCCTTTCAGGTCGCCTATAAAGACTACCTTCAGATCACCTATAAAGACTCACCCTCCAGGTCGCCTATAAAGACTCCCTTCAGGTCGCCTATAAAGACTCCCTTCATGTCGTCTATAAAGACTCTCCCTTCATGTCGTCTATAAAGACTCTCCCTTCAACTCGTCTATTTTTTCCAAGTCAATAAAGACTCGCTTTAGGTAGTCTATAAAGGCTCTCCCTTTATGTCGTCTATAAAGGCTCTCTCTTCATGTCGTCTATAAAGACTCCCCTTTAGTTCGTCTATAAAGACTCCCTTTCAGGTCGTCCAAAAAGTCTTCCTTTCAGGTCGTCTAAAAACACTCCCTTCATGTCGTCTATAAAGGCTCTCCCTTCATGTCATCTATTAAGATTCCCTTTCAGGTCGTCCAAAAAGTCTCCCTTTCAGGTCGTCTAAAAAGACTCCCTTTCAGGTCGTCTATAAAGACTCCCCTTCAGGTCGTCTATAAAGACTTCCTTAAGATGGTCTGTAAGGACTAACTTCAGGTGGTCTATAAAAACTCCCTTCACGTGGTCTATAAAGACTCCCTTCAACTCGTCTATAAGTAATCCTTTCAGGTCGTCTATACAATTTTCTTTAGGTCGTCCATTTGAATACAATTTTTCCCTTAAAATATAGCGCCCATGGTTTTCGATATTGGAATTTTGCCGGTTTAGAAGAACAAATTATTTAATTTTTTATTATTCTGAAATTATAAAATATAATTAATAAAAAAAAACACAATTTTATATTATATATTTTAACCATACCCAATGCATCCTGATGGCAACAATCTCATCATGAGTGTAATCAGAAACATGCGAAATACGAATGACTGTTGCATGTAAGCAATATTCGATTTCAGTTTCTTCAAACATTCCTTGAAATATTTAATTTTGTAATAATAAAATCTTGTAACCCTTTGGTAATTTCTTTCATAAAATAAATAAATTAAAAAGAAATTTTGAAATACATCGAATTAAAATGTTATATATCTTACAATCTTAAATATTGTAAACGATTTCCAATCAGAATTAAATTTTTTTCTATTATCCCCATCTCCTCATCAACAAACGATTATTAGGTGAGTGAGTTAGTTGGAGAATATCAACAATTATCAAATCGGCAAACTGCAATATAGTATCATCAGAACGTTCAACACCCCGCAGTTCCGAACCATACATTGCCGCTGCCACACACAAGATGCACGGGCAAAACCAAACTCACACACAAGAGGAGAAAATTAGAGATGGCAACACGGCAAATGAAAAAAAAAGTTCCAACAAGAATAAGTCATCGGCAAAAATTGTATAGAAAATTACGTCATCGTGTCGTCATATGAAAAAAAAGGAATAAAAAACCAACTAGATTATTCATCGTCGTCGTCAATTGCTGGCCATTATTACAACAACGCAATTGTCAATATCGAACTAATTGTCAGCATCAACGTTGATTTGTAATTATGAATATAACATGCCTTTGCAAAAAAGTAAAACGAAAAAATCAATTCCGGCATAGCACAATTTACACAATTTCTTTTTCAACAGCGTTCTTCTATTCGCACACGCACACACATACTTGCATATATAAATTCTCTTTTGTCTCTTTCACACTTTTTAGAAGAAAATTTTTTCTTTGGCCAATTTTCACACAGATATTTTCTTGGATGGTTTTCTATATTTTGCAAAAATGTTTATCTTTTATTTCAATTTCATCCGAATCACTTGGAAATTGTTAATAATTTTATTTGATTTTTTCTTATTTTTAAAGAGTTTTTTCAACTCACCCAGTCAAAAAATTGTTTTGTTAATTAGGTGCGGTAGAATTGGCTATACCTCAAAATGATTTAAAATAAAATGTGGTTCCTGTGATCAGTGAGTGGAAGCTTTTCTCGACTGCAGAAAATTGAAAAACGTTCCACCTGCTAATGAATGCGAGGAGAAGATAAAATGGCCGATAAAGATGAACTCAAAATGGTATAACCCCGAGAAATATTACGAATGAGGTGGGATGGAGACTAAATGAGAACCGTCGTATTGTTTACAACACATACACTCACACAGCAGCTGCAGTCAAAGAACAGAGCCATACGTGTGACGGCGTTGTTATTGTGTTGCTGACGTTCAACGATCAGCTGTTTAGGTGTCTTTTATTTGAAAATTGGAAAAATTGGGGTTATATTTATTTCAAATAAAATTGTAAAGTTGGAGAAAACATTAATTAGGTGGGGTAGAATTAGTTCACAAGGAATTAATAGACCGAATTTGTTACGAAGCACAAAGTCAATATTGGATTTTTCCAACAACGGCGTTGAATTTTCAAATATTTAATAACAGAGGGCGCTTTTAAATTCAATCAATTGACATAGAAGTTTCACAGATATTCGGAAGGGGGTTTAGACGAGCTGATGAAAGTATTTTTAGACGAGTTGAAGGATACAAGCCGAAGGAGTTTTTATAGACAAACTGAATGGAAACTATAGGCAAACTGAAGACTGTCTTCATAGACAAGCTGAAAACTGTATTTAAAGACAAGCTGAAGACTTTCATTATAGACGAGCTGAAGGAGTCTTTATAGACAAACTGAATGGAGATTATAGGCTTGGTGAAGGCTGTCTTTATGGACGAACCGAAAGCAGTCTTTATATACGAGCTTAAGGCTGTCTTTATAGAAGAGTTGAATACTATTTATAGATGAGCTTAAGGCTGTCGTCTTTATAGATGAGTGGAGAGGTTTCTAAAGGCAATCTATATAGAGAGCTGAATGGGGTCTTTTTAAATGAGCTGAAGGGAGTATTTATGGACCAATTAAAGGAAGTCTTTTAGACAAGCTAAAGGCAGTTTATAGTCGACCTGAACGTATCTTTAAAGACGAGGGGAAGGGAGTATTTATTGACGACTTGAATCGAAGCTCTCATAGGTCAGCTGAATACTGTCTATATAGACCAGCTGAAGACTGTCTTTATAGACGGGCTAAAGGCAATCTGTATTGACTAGATGGTAGAGAGTATTTATAGGCAGGCTGACTATCTAAAGTGTGTATTTATAGACGGGATGAATGATGTTTATATATGAACATGTATTTTTTTCAAAGCACTTAAATATTCGTCTCTTTCAGGTATGTGGCGGAGAGAAATGCTACTATCCTCCGCACATTCTCTTGGAATGCTTTTTATTATAAAATGCCTAAAAAAATAGATTTAACATTTTGTTATTCTTTATTGTATATAAATTCATTTATTAAGTAGTATATAAACAAATATCGTAATTAAGCCTTAAAAATATACGTCTCGCTAACTGACTTCTTCAAATCCTTTGTACACGGAACGCATTTTACAGAAAAAATTCCCTTGGAATATATGTGTTCTCCAACACACTGTCCTCGCTATTCACTATCCGAAGATGATTCACTACTTTCATCACCTTGCTCCAAAAGTGCCTTAAATTCCTTTACCTTAATCTTTTGTGGTATTATTTGCAGCAGAAAGGCTAAATTGTCGTTTTCTTGGACCAAATCTGCCAGGTGATTATATTGTAAGTTATTGGGTTTCTTGGCGTGTTTATAGGATTCTTTGGCAAAATGTTTAATAAACATTTCCTGCAAACAATAACAACAAATAATAATAATCATGTGTAACAAAATAAAACATTTCCAAATAGCTTACCGTCGATTTTGTCATTAGAAATAGTACTTCGTTAGTTACTTGTCCAGTATCCACAGAACTTTTCATAATTGCTCGGATGCGTGTGTGGGGAAGTTCAGTTTCCATTTTCTAGATATATTTATTACTTTCTTGCACAAAGATTAACCCGGTCTTTGCGCGTTTTTTCTCGCTTGGTTGCAAGATTGTTTATGCTTACCGGCTGTTGTGTAGGGATAAGTAAATCGACTTTCGACTAATCGAATTACCGGCTGTTGTATGCCGAAAATAAACAAGCGGGGTTTTACACTGTTGGTGATTGGCATTGGTCATAAGAGTTGTTTCTCTCTCTCTCATATTGGTAAATTGGGAATAGAGTTGGAAAACATTGCCACAAGTAGGAACAAAAAAGTACGAAAAGTTACCTAAAATTTTACTTCAAATGATAATAAATCATAATTATGGAGAAATATTAGCCAATATTTATACCAGTTATTTTGATAAATAATATATGTTACCTTTTGTGAACAAAAAGTACGCTTGTTACAAAATTAAAAATTGCGCAACTCTAATTACTCTCTCAAGAGAGAGAAACTCTCAACGCTGATCCCGATCCCGATAAATATAAAACCACTCTTTTAATTTACCAATGAGAGAGAAAAAAACTCTCATGACGAATGACCATGACCAACAGTGTAAAACCCTACTTTTCGTAAATCTTAGCATGTCACATCATGAGGAACGTTTTTAAATTTTTCTGCAGTTGGTGTTTATTATTGAAAACGTTTGTTGTCCAGTTTTTTAATATTGCATTATTTCGGCAAAAGACACGGATAGCAGAAGAATGGAGCAGAAAATTAAAGTGTAAGTGCATAGAATTGCCTGGTATATATAATTCGGAATACATTTTACCGGGATTTAATAGATTCTTAATTTTCCCGCCAAAATTGTCACATTAGACCAGACAGGGTTTTGAAGGATACAACATCCTTCAAGAGACACCATTAGGAAGCATAAGTTTATGTGCATAACTAACTATATAAATATTGTTAAATATATATATTATCCTTTTCTCCGGCAATACAAGAAATGGTTTTTAAGGATTGGTAAATTGGGAATAGAGTTGGAAAACATTGCCACAAGTAGGAACAAAAAAGTACGAAAAGTTACCTAACATTTTACTTCAAATGATAATAAATCATAATTATGGAGAAATATTAGCCAATATTTATACCAGTTATTTTGATAAATAATATATGTTACCTTTTGTGAACAAAAAGTACGCTTGTTACAAAATTAAAAATTGCGCAACTCTAATTACTCTCTCAAGAGAGAGAAACTCTCAACGCTGATCCCGATCCCGATAAATATAAAACCACTCTTTTAATTTACCAATGAGAGAGAAAAAAACTCTCATGACGAATGACCATGACCAACAGTGTAAAACCCTACTTTTCGTAAATCTTAGCATGTCACATCATGAGGAACGTTTTTAAATTTTTCTGCAGTTGGTGTTTATTATTGAAAACGTTTGTTGTCCAGTTTTTTAATATTGCATTATTTCGGCAAAAGACACGGATAGCAGAAGAATGGAGCAGAAAATTAAAGTGTAAGTGCATAGAATTGCCTGGTATATATAATTCGGAATACATTTTACCGGGATTTAATAGATTCTTAATTTTCCCGCCAAAATTGTCACATTAGACCAGACAGGGTTTTGAAGGATACAACATCCTTCAAGAGACACCATTAGGAAGCATAAGTTTATGTGCATAACTAACTATATAAATATTGTTAAATATATATATTATCCTTTTCTCCGGCAATACAAGAAATGGTTTTTAAGGAAATTGATATGATGTTAGAGCTAAAGGTGAGGTGATAGCCCATGGAGTAATAGAACAACAGAAAACCTGGAAAAATATATTTTGTTAAGAAGCAAGAAAATTAAATAAATTGACAGTGTCGATCACAAATATGCCTTTTGGCAGATCGAACTGGACGAGGAGAGCAAACCATATACAGCACTCATAGTAGCCGGGCGACTACAATACGAATTCAGTGTGATGGAACGAGGAACACCCGATTGCATTTTACTCGCAGAATTTAAATTCCTGCCAACGAAAGTATAATAATATATTTATTGTTTTACTTTCTATTACAGTTTAGTGTGTGGCGATGTCCGTGGCCGTTTCAAGCAAATGTTTCAGCGTGTGGAAAACATTAACAAAAAGGCCGGTCCTTTTGAAATTCTATTGTGTGTGGGTGATTTCTTCTCGGAGGATGAAAAACAAAATGAGGAACTTATTGCTTATAAAAATGGACACAAACATAGTAAGTCTACTCTAAACTATAAAAGAAGAAGAAAATATTTAACCACTGTTTTTGTGTGTTTTCAGTTCCCGTTCCAACGTACATTTTGGGACCTAATAACAAAAACGTATTGTCGTATTATGAAAATACCCAAGATGGAGAAATTTGTAGTAATCTAACGTATTTGGGTAAACGTGGTCTTTACACCCTCTCGTCGGGTGTTAAAATAGCCTATATTAGTGGTTTGGAAAAGCCAGCGGGGGCGACCAGTAATGAAGAATATTACTTTAATATGGATGATATTGAAGCTGTTCGTAATTCATGTTTAGTTAATAAATCATCAGCATCAGATTATCGTGGTGTTGATGTATTGTTAAGTTCACCATGGCCGTATGGTATAACAAACGATGGACAGGAGGTAAGTTGTGGGGAAATCATGTAGCAAAGTTTTTAAAATTTTTTTAATTTCATTTTCAGGCCCAATACTCTTCGAAATTGTTGGCATTTTTATGCCGTGATATTAAGCCAAGATATCATTTTTGTGGAATGAGTAAGAAATATTTTGAACCGGCTCCATATAGGTAAGCGGAATATAATTTGGAAATTATGTTGTATTTAAACTGATTTGGAAATATATGTAAATTTAATAATGATGGGCTTACGATCATCTGAAGGGTATAAAATCGTGTCTTTGGGGTGTACAAAATTTTAAAGACATGATCGTGATCTCTTAAGGAGTTTGTATGATATTTAATAAATCGGAGATACGTAAAGGTTCTTGGTACCTTCAAAGTTATAGAAATATTTGAATTTTTGTATTTTTTCTTTACTTCAGACTGCCCTCGGATCAAATAACACAATTGGAATTGTGTACACGATTTATATCCCTAGCCGATGTGGGAAATGCAGAAAAGGAGAAATACATTTATGCCTTGAGCTTGACGCCGGTGGAAAAAATGCGTGTTATGGAATTGATACAGAAAACGACCATTGAAATAAAATGTCCATTTGCCGATATTAATTTTAATGATATCAAATTAAAGGGTGCGGCGGTAAGTACAAACATTTTACAAAATACGATTAGCTCTAAAGATATTCTTTTCCCCTTCAGACTGAAAGTAAACAATATTTCTTTGATATGGAATCGAAAAATGACAAAGGCAAACGTTTTGGTGGTAGTAATGATCGGCAACACAAAAAACCAAAAGTTCAGCAATGGGATCAAGGTATGACAGATTTAATTTTGTTTACTTTTAATATTTTCATTCTATTAATTGTATTGTTTTGTTTATTTTTCAGAAATCTGTTGGTTCTGTTTATCAAGTCCAAGTGTGGAGAAACATTTAATTATTACCATTGGCACACATTTCTATTTGGCTCTGGCCAAGGGACCCATTAACGATTATCACATATTGGTGTGCTCGATTAATCACATACCTTGTGCTGCTCAGCTAACCGAAGAAGATTGGAAAGAATTGCTGCGTTTTAAAAAAGCTCTAAGGAAATTTTTCAAAGAACAAAAACAAGTTGTGTGTTTTACCGAACGCAATTATAAAACTTCGCATCTGCAAATTAATGTATTGGCTTTGGATGAGGGTTTGGCATGGAAGATTCCCCATGCATTCGAAGATAAAGCTGAAGAATTTAATTTAGAATTTGAAACAATACCAGAATTGACGGCATCACATATGCTACCGGAGCAGGGTCCCTACTTTGTGGCTGAATTGCCAAATGATACTACGTTAATAACACGTCAAATGAAACATTTCCCAATACATTATGCAAGGTAAGATAGTGGGCCGATAGACCGAGGTCTCCAAATTTCCTTCTTAAGAAAAAAATCATAGACCAAGGTCTCAGAACTTTCCTATATAAAAAGTCATAGACAGAGGTATACACATTTGTTCTATAGAAAAAAAAAATGTAGACCAAGGTCCAAGGTCAGACCGAAGTCTCGAATTTTTTACCATAAAAAATTATAAAACGACGTTTCCGATTTTTTTTTTAGAAAAAATTAAACATCGAGATTGATAACAAAATTATGGATCGATTACTCAGATGTCTTTTTTCTTAACGTTTTTTTACTTTTTTGTTTTTTGCTCTTCCAATTTTTCTTTTTCCCTCTTACAGAGATGTTTTCTGTTCCGAAAATCTTTTGAACTGTGATGAAAAAGTTGATTGGCGTGCATGTAAACTTGATATGGATACGGAAAAGGAATTGGTGAAAAATTTTAGAGACAAATTTGCAAAATATGATTTTACCTCCTAATGTAAGTAGCAACAAATAAAAAAGAAAATATCAACAAAAAATTAGACTACAATATGACATATTTTATTTCGTTGTACAAATGTTTTACACTAGACAATAGAAAAAAATAATAATAGCAACTAAAATTAAAAACTAATTAAGGAAAATTAAAAAAAAGAAAAACAAAGGATTTATTAAATTTTTCGTTTCGCTTCTAACAAATCGTATTTTTAGGATTCACGCTGATATATTTTATTGAGGATCTGTAAAAATATGCCATGTGGTACACCACGTGATGTTTGTTGGATATGTGTTTTAATCATGTTATATGATTCCTCTTCATAGATTGCATAGGTGTTGGGTAGGCCCATACTCTTGTAAAGATCTTTGACTTTTTGGGCTTTTTCGGGATCTAGGGAATAATATAAAAGAATTTAATTTTAATGTATTTTTAGATTTCAATTTAAAAAAGTTCTACTTACCACTTTGTCCATAGCAATCCAACATGATTTGTTTTTGTTCCTCATTTGCCCTTTGCATGCAAACCACCGCCAACCAGGAACATTTATTATCCTGGATATCGGTACCAATTTTTCCGGTAATTTCTGGATTACCAAAGCAATCTAAAAAGTCATCTTGCACCTGGAAGAAATGGCCCATTTCCAGCAAAATGGTTTTTGATTGTCTAAAGGCTTCGGGATCTTTGATTCTAAGTAAAACAAAAAATTATTAAATATTAAAATAAAATTATTTTTCTTTTCATATTCCTACCCAGCCAAATGCATTGCCAAGGCAAATGGCAAATAGAATGTATAATATGCCGTCTTATTAGCCACCGTTGCATTATATTTTTCCATGCTAAACGACAACACATTATTATTGGCATTTAATAAATCCAAACTTTGACCACAGGTGGTGATAAAAGTAATCTCATGGAAGAGTTCCATTAAATCAACATAACAGTCCAAATGTCGGAAATGATTTTTCAGTACAGCGTAGAGACCATTTTCCATCATTAGAGCATCATTTAAGGCAATCAGTCCAACCTGTGGTACTTTATGCCAACACACTTGTCCCCGCCGTGTCGAACTATTATCCATGACATCGTCGTAAACCAAAAAGAAACTGTGCAGAATTTCAACACACCAACCCAATATTTGGGCTCGTTTTATATTTTCCGGTGTTAGGTCTTCAGATTTCACCAGATTTTTATATGTCAATACGGTGAGTAGACCACGATTTAATTTGCCATGTGGTATATTGTATTCCAGGGACTGGAAAAGAAATAAGAAAAATAGTTTTTATTTTTATTGCAAATTAAATTGAAATAACATTTTGAAATTTTACCCTTGCAAACCATTCTGAAATTTCATTCGGACTATATTTGTTTGTTATTTCCACCATTTCGTTAACAATTTCTGTGAAAGAAAAAATTAAAAAAAAAAAAAAAACATTTCTATTAAACATTTCTATGTATGGGAACTAATATCTAAATCTGAACCGATTTTCACGAAACTTAGCACATATCATTCTAGACTTAATTCAGTGCGCTATAGCAAATTTCGTGCAAATCGAAAGATATATAGGGACTTTGGTGCACCATTTACCTTAAATCGGACGAAAATATATATGAGAGCTATATGTAAATCTGAACCAATTTTTACGAAACTTCACGTACGCCATTCTAGTCCTAATTCAGTATGCTTCGCCAAATTTCTTGCATATTGAAAGATATCTAGGGACTTTGGTGCATAATTTACCTTAAATCGGACGAAATTATATATGGGAGCTATATCTAAATCTGAACCGATTTTTCCCAATTTCAATAGGATTCGTCCTTGGGCGAAATAAATGAGCTGTGCCAAATTTAATCCAAATCGGATGATAAATCCGACCTGTACTTAGTTTACAATTTAACATCAACAGACAGACGAACGGGCATGCATAAATCGACTCAGATCGTGATTCTATGCATGTTCTCAAAAGGAACCATGAGTCTTATCTCTTTTCCTGTTGCCTGTTACAAACATATGCACAAAGACATAATAACCTGTACCACAGTCTGTTTCTTAAAAAAAAATATATATTTTACGGTATAGACTCCGCAGGACAATTTATAATTTGTTACACCCCTTCATTTCGAGTGAGACTCCGATCGTGGAAACCTTTGTCGTGGAAACGATACTCTAGAACCATATCTATAGAGATTTACTAAGGGTATTCTATTAATAAATAGGACAAAAAGGAAGTGTCTTTTTGTCCTATTTATTAATAAATAGATAATCTATAGAGGCATTATGTCACTAGGATATATATATATATATATTATCTTTATGTAAATTTATTATTTACAAAAGACCTTTATACCGTATTCAATATCTGTTGAAGACCTGCATAACCTCATCGGGGTGTAGAAAACAATTACTGATAATGTTTGGGTATTATTTCTGTTGAACTGTAGAAAAGCTAACTTTTAACAGATATACAGATAGGTACCCCCTCACAGCCAAAACATTTATTCGCAATTGTGTTTATAAAACAATGGCTTATTATTATCAAGCTTTATTATTAAGTGCTTGAGGAAGCATTGAAATAAATGCAAATAAGAAAAAAATACTCTCTTCTTTGGATTTGCTGTTCATTGTTGGCATTTTTTGCTATTTTTGGGATAACATTTCATATTCGTTCAGCCTATTATATGTGCATATATATACGAGCTTTAAAATCGTCATCTATAACCTTTGATTTACTACCTCTTTTGTAGATTATTTTTTATTAGCAAAGTAGTTCAATTTTATATTTAATTAGCAAACAATTAAATGCAGCCTTATTATCACTTCTAATTATACCTATATTTGTTAATTGTATTGTGGTGCTGATGCGATATACCACCACATATCACACAACTTAATTATTTACAAGCTACAATTTCTGCTTACATGAATCGAATGTTATATATGTATATATGAATACAATTTATTTATATACCTGGAAACACGGCCAAAAATTCCCGATTTTCATCGGTTGATACTGCAGTTCGCGTTGCGGCTGGTATCGGATGATTTTGTAATGTTGACAATGTTCTGTAAAAAATGAAAACAATGTGGTGTGTTAACATTTGTTAATATTTTATGTAAACAAATAGTCAAGATATGTAGCTTTAAATCTCACGAACATTTTAAAGATGAAGAAACAATGCCATTGTCAGTTTAGGAAATGTGACACCTAACGGTCAAATAGTAAAAGGTTGGTGTTATTGTTGTTTTATGATAATGAGACCGAAGTGTTGTTTTTTCGGTGATTTTCATTCAAGACAACAAATGTTAAATAATATTCAAGGGTGGGGTTTGATTTTATCAATGAAGAAAACTTTATAGGAACAGCGATTTTGAATTGAAATATGAGGTTGTTTAAAAAATATATCTAACATGTAAAGTGTTGATTTATGAAATTTTAATTTCTATATCAAGAACTTTTTCATCAAAGATTTTTTTGGAATATTTTTCAGGGCCCAAAAAGGGGTGGATTTTTTTGCAATATTTTTTTAGGATCTATTTTAGAACCAAAAAGATTCTAAGAAATAACCACGCCTTTTAAGAACCTTAAAAAAATATTACTTAAAAAATTCAAGCCTTTGATGTAGTCGAAAAAGTAATTAAATAATTGACGTATTTTTTAAAATTCTTGGCCTTTGAAAAAATATTCTTAAAAAACCACGATCTTTATAGATCCTAAAAAATATTCTAAATATTTTCTCAAAACCCCACATTGTATGTTTTTATACCCTTCACCACACAGGGTATTATGTCGTTGTGCATATGTTTGTAACATGGAAAGGAAACGAGATAGACACGTGGTTCCTTTTGAGAATATGCATAGAATCACTTTCTGAGTCCGTCCGTCCATCCATTTGTTGATGTAAAATTGTACAAAAAGTACAGGTCGCATGTATCGTCCGATTTGTATGAAATTTGGTACAGATCATTTATTTGGCCCAAGGACGAACCTTATTGAAATTTGGAAAAATCGGTTCAGATTTAGCTCCCATTTATAATTTCGTCTGATTTAATGTAAATGGTGCACCAAAGTCCCTATATATCTTTCGATTTGCACGATATTTGGTATGGCGTACTGAATTGAGCCTATAATGATCTGTGCTAAGTTTCGTGAAAATCTGTTCAGATTAAGATATAGCTCCCATATATATTTTCGTCCGATTTAATAGAAATGATGCACCAAAGTTTTTATATATCTTCCGTTCAATTTTATGTCAATGTTCTTTCGAAAAGGCGACGTCTGTTAGGAGACTATGTAGAATATACGCAAAGTGGTCCCAGGGCCCAGTCCGATTTACTACTTTCCTTATTGTATTTTTTAATTAGCTGAACCATAATATTGTTTTTCAAAAGAATGTATTCGATTTCATTGTGTCATTGATCGGCTATTTATATGCGCCATAACACTAATAAAGTATAACACATTCCATTTAAAGAAAATATTCCTCCATGGGGGAGAATAATACTTTGTGTGTGTTTCCTCGAAGAGACTCTTAGATCGATAGATACACATCCATTTTCTATAAATAGAAATACTTAAAATTAAATTAAATCAATAACTGGTACTTGAATGTGTCGTAGGACAATCCTGCAGCAGCCATTGTCGTCGTTGTCTATGATGCAAAAGAGAGACACAAACATGTTATCATGCACACACAAAAAAGGTAAACAAAGAATACCAGTTTATCGCATTATAAGAATCAATGGATGGATGGTACATCAATAGAGTCAATTTTTCCATGGTATTTGGATTTCAATGAAACCAGTTTGTTTACATGTCAACCAATAAAATCCCTTTATTAAAAACAACAACAACAATTAACTAAAAGAAAGTCAAATAACTAACAAGTGTTAAAGAAATACCAACCAACCTACCACAAATCAATGATGGTCTGACATGGCCTGGCCCATTATTTATTCAAATCGCTTAACTATCGCCAACTACGTGACCAACGAGACAACAAATTAGCAAACCAATTCACATTGGGGGGCGGGCAAGAAGATATGTAATAAAATAAGATATCTATGTGCATACTGGATGGTGTGTGTAAACAAATATTTTATCTCTAACCCAAAAAAATACGGTTACGTATCTGCTGCTGCCTACTGCATGCATATGTGTAATCTAAAGCCGGTTCATTTGCCTAAATTCTATTGGCGCAACATCTATCTGTCCTAATATTTTTCTTACCTTGAAGATTGTTCCAATTTACGTTTGTTTATCAATTCCAATGGTAAACCACCAATCCGCTCTGTGTCCGCGGGACCAGATGATTTATGTATATTATCGGAATTGTGTACATTTTCACTTGTCGAAATATAACGGTTATTGCTTGTATGTTCATGTTGACTAGGATATCCTTTGACACCAGTTTGATGTCTTGCCAATTTGGTTGGATTACAATTGTTGGTAATAACCAATGGCAATCTTTTTAATATTGAATTTAACATTTTTCTGTGTGGCTGTGTGTTTCCACTTTCCTCGTTATTTGTGATCTTTGTTGCTGTTCTTTTTGTTTTCAAATTCGATCTTTCTTAACACTGAGGCTCGCGATTTCACTTTTCTTTCTGTTCGGTTCGGTCTGAGAGTGTTATGCGTTTGACCGACCGACCGTCTAGCCACAAAACATATGATGTGTATATTTGTTTTTGTTGGTATTTGGTATAGATGAATGAAATTATCGCACACAGGTCACGTATGGCTAGTACGTCATACGTTACGTGCGGTACTAATCACACAAAGTATTAGTGTGCTGCTATTGTGAATTATTAAGTGAGATGGTCACTTTTGAAGTTTGAAGGATAGCAAAATAATAAAATATGATATTAAAAATTAAAAATATACGGGACTGGTATATTCAATATGTATTCTGTATATGCAGTAGACTTCGAAGCTTATTAAAAAAACTTAAGATGTGTTTAGATCTATTAATAAGGTCACGCAGTAAGTGGAAGTCAGCTGTTTTTCCCATGTCAGATAAAAAACTGGGTTTTGTTTATGTTTACATAATGGAAATCAATTCACAATAATGGATTTTGACAGTAAACTTAAGAGGCAGCTAATATCCTGGATGAACATATTTAGATCTCGATTTAGCATAGAATCGAGAGTGGATTTTTTTAATGGGTAATGTAAATTTAGCACGATTTACCAATTAAATCGATATCGACTTTTAAAACCCTTGGAATTCCTTCGGCAAATTCTAAATATTCGCCAGGGAAGAAATTTATTTTTTTTTTTAAATTCTCGTCGGGAGAAGCAAACAAACCGTGATGTACTTTCGAAAAGTGTCGCAATATTTTCAATTAAAATTATAATGAGTTTTGTCCAATTATTTACGTTTTCAAAATGTGATGTCTCCAATAATAATATAATAATAGGGCAGGGTCAATAGTCGAGTAAGACTCGGGACATTTCGGATCACAATCTAAACATGATCATAATATTCATTGTAAAATTCCATGAAGATAGAGAGATAGGAGATTTTTTCCAATTCTAGTATCTGTTCCCTGGGAATAAATTAAAAAAATAAAAAAATCGCAATATTTTCCCTTGCGATAGTAAAATGTATTGGGAGAATTTATAGTGAACATTTTACTACAAAAGTAAATAGACACACCTTTTTTGTACTTTGAGAGCGATTTTGGAAGTTTTACCTTTTACTAGCTATACTATTAAATAAGCACGGGAACATAACTGACCTGTTTCCGTACTCAAAAGGGGGTAACACTTTTCAATATATATAAATTAGAAATAATGTCTATTAATACAAGGTCTATAAATAAGATCATCCAGGGGGACCAGCTGGATATCAGCTTCCTCCTCTTAAGTTTGCTATCAAAATCCATTATTGTGAATTGATTTCCGTTAGGAAAACGTAAACAAAATTTAAATTTTTAACATTAGATTTGAGAAAAAACAGCTGACTTTCGCTAGTTGGGCGCCCTCATTACTAGATCTTGTATTAATAGAAGGTTCTAATCGGTTTTTTTGAAGAAAACATTATCTACTAACATAGCCATAACATAAAGTTTAAATTGTACCGAAACTGGGTTTAAATAAATGGTTTGTCAATACCATTGTATATATGTCAAATAAATCCTCATAAAGTAGGTTAAACCAGTAAAATGTTCTAATGTAAATGGCGGTTATGAGCTCAGAAAAACAGCGCTTTGTGACCTTATAAGAGGGAATTGTAGAAATGTCAATCAGCTGATGTTTGTTTAAGTATTCATTATTAAGGGAAAGAACATTAGAAGCAAGGCCCATAAATGAAGACGTCGAGGGAGACCAGCCAGATATCAGCTGTCTTTTAATTTTGCTGTCAAAATCACAAAAATGTGAATTGACTTCTATTACAAGAACGTAAACGTAAAATAACTTCAGGATTGGCATGTTAAGTTTGCTTCTTTTACAATTAAAGAATAAAGGAGAACGGCGCCCAAAATCATGTTACACTTTGGTATTCCTTTATAAATTGACATTTCATACAAAGCCATCTTAATATGCCAGGCCCGAATTTTCGTATGTGTTTCCCTCTTTAGTTTGATAATCTTTACCAAGCAATAAAAGTACAATGTTTTTATTCATTTATTCTCCATGATATATATTGGCATTAATTCTAACGTATCCTAAGTAAAATTTCATTTAAGTTATTTCGAAAAATATCTTTTGGGAAACCTGTTAGTTTTTCTATGTGGTCTCTAATAATTTGACATTGTCTTTCCACATATATTCCAAAGGCAACATCAAGTCCCAAGTCCGAATATAAATCTTTAATGTTTTGTATCTTGTTGGGATCTGTAAAAAAATATGTAATATGTAAAAAATAATAAAATTGTAATCATAATAACCTTTTTTTCCATAGCAATTTCGCATTATTTCTTTTTGTTCCTTATTTGCACGCTGTAAACATTCAATTACAAACCAGGTACATTTATTTTCTTCAATATCATTTCCATTGCGTCTATATAGATTCAAGAAATCTTCTTTTACTTGATATATGTGACCCATTTCGTTTAAAATTGTGCTGCATTGCAGGAATGCATTTGAATTTATACTAGAAGAGAATAAAACGTAAACAAGCCAAGTAGATATTTCGCTTAGGCTACGTTTACACTACTAAATCCACTCGATCTCAAATGTCAACTTCATAGCGACATTAACGTCACGTTAAATAATGGAAGTCCTGTAATGTATTTTGACAGCAAACTCCATAATCAGAGGATGGCGTATACGTCACCTTAATCCTGTTCACAAATCCAGTGGATTATATTCGATGTATACGCTATGGAATTGACATTTGAGATCGAGTGGATTTCATAAATCTGACAATGACACAACTACGTTTATACAAATAATATTTCTTATGTTTAATACTTACCCAGCTAATTGCATTGCCACTTTTAAAGGCAATTCATATAAATAATTTGTTGTCTTGGCATTTGTAATCGTCCGATACATGTTAATATCAAATTTCATAACAGATTCTTTAGATGATAGAAGAACTGCATTTTGCAGACATCCAGTTTTAAGGGCCGCCTCATGAAAAATATCCATTAATGGTATATAGTGCGATGAGTTTTTGAAATATTTATTTATTAGGAAATAAATTGAATTTTCCAAAATTATAGCATCGTTAAGACCAATAATGCCAACATTATCCATTGAATACCAACATTGTTTCCCCTGTCTCCATGTATTTCCTTCTATTAAATCGTAATACATCGATATGCCTGTATATAGTAACTCAACACACCAACCTAAAATTTGAGCTGATTCTAGATTTGGTTTTTCAGTTTTCCATTCCATTATGGCTTCATAAGCTGCGATAGTGTTTTGAAGGCACTCATATTTGTCTTTTTTCAAATTGTATTCAAGTACTTTGGGAAACCAATCTGTTTTGATATTTAAATTAACTTTGGAAATGCCTTTATTTATATCGAGTATGAAATCTAGAGGAGGGAAGGAAATTGGTTTGGAATAAGGTTGGAACCAGGGCCGATTATGGATTGAAATCATAATATAAAAATTGAAATGTTAACAAACAAAATTATCAAGGTCTATAATAAGGTCATCCAGGAAGATCAGCTGATTCTCTAGTTTGCTGTCAAAATCCATTATTGTTAATCAGCTGGTATGCCGCTGATCCTCATGGACCTCTTTATTAATAGGCTTTGCTAATTTTGTTGACGCGAAAAACAGCTGTTATTTATGAAGTTGAATATCAACAATTTTGACGTTAGTACCTTCTTCATAAGCTTCATAAGTTATAATTTATATAACAATTTACCTGGAAGTTTATTAGAATCAAATAATCCTATATTCTTTCCAGCAGGGCCAACATGTTCTAACTTGTTTTTGGTGCCATTTACAACTGAAACACATCTACGAAAGCGTAAGCAGAATATCAGTTTTTTCATTATTTCTAATAATTTTTAGCACTATATAATTTACATTACCTCACTTCTTTCGCAGTTGATATACTTCTATGCCGCTGGTGTTTCAAAATACCATATATATTTTTTCTAAAGAAAAACATTATTGAAATGGCAAATAAATTCAAAATTCAAGACCAAAACGTCTTCACAACTGTTAAAATTGCACTGACTATGGTTCGGGAATAGCTGAATTATTTGTTAAACTATCATCCTACATTTAAATTGTCTCAAGATAAGCAAATGCCGTTTATTTATTTTAATTGGGGTTTTATGTTAAATAGTTCTGCATGCAATGCAAATAAAGTAAATTAAAAAAGTAACAAATTGATACGTAAAATGTTTAAAAGTTATATAATTAAGAAAACAAATGGTATGGCACAAAGGTATGTTTTGACATTAGACATAAAAAGCAGGTGATCTTAATAATAGATTTTGGGATTTAGTATGTCCGGAAACAAATCCTAGTCATTTACATTAAATTTCAAAGCGTTTATGAGCATTTAAATCCTTTGACATTTAATGTAAATGACTAGGATGTTTGTTCAAGTACACATACAAAAAATAATGAAATATCCACAAATGATTACAAAAATTGATAATTTAAACGACGCCTCTTATCAAAACCTCTTTGATTAAAATATAGTCTAAACGTAGTGTTACACTACATTCCATATGATTTATTTGACGGTCAGCTGGTGTTTTTTACATATTATTTTTAACTGCTTATGTTCAAAAATTATTAATATTTACGATTTCATAATGCAAAGTCAATCCACAATAATGGATTTTGACAGAAAACTACCTAAAGAAGTCATCCAGGAATTTTCAAGTTTGCTGTGAAAATACATTATTGTGAATCAGTTTCAATTTTTATTATTCACTTTTCAATATAAATAGGTTGCCCAGCTAGCGAAATTCGGCTGTTTTCTGTCAAGTCTAATGTCAAAATGTGGCCTTAGTTTACGTTTTTATAATGGATTTTGACAGCAAACTTAAAAGGCACATGATATCCAGTTGGTCCCCCGACCTTATTTATAGACTTTGTAAAAACGTAATAACGTCCAAATTTTTGACATAAAAATTTAGAAAAAAACAGCCGATTTTCGCTTGCGAAATCCTCTCGATTTCAAATGACAATTCCATGCGTAAACGTCAAATATAATCCACTGGATTTGTGAACAGGAATAACATGACTGTGAAATTGACATTTGAAATCTAGTGGATTTAGTAGTCTTACCGCGTAAATTGTAGTACGTTTACATTGCACCGGATTTTTTAAATCCAGTAGATCAAAATTGTCAATTCCATTTCATATATATGTCAAATAAATCCCCATAGAGCAGGTTAACCCGACAAAAAGTTGTAGTACGCTTAAATTGTACCAAATTTAGGGTTAATTGTAAATTTCATGGCGCATTTGTCAAATAAATCTTCATAAATGGGGTTAACCCGGCAAAAAGTTCTAATGTACATGTCATTTTATTTTTATTTATATATTATATTTTTATTTATATATAAAATTATCAAAAAAGTCGGTTCACTTCTCACGACAATATATTCGATTTGCAATCTGCAATAATATTTCCTGTATGGCCTTATCGGAAATATTATATATCAAAGATTTAGATTTATTATATGACTCCTCCAATGCGGCAGCATAAACATTTGGCAGATCCAGCGTTGTGTATAAATCTTTTACCTTCTGGATTTTTTCGGGATCTAAGAAAAAAAAATAAATAAAAAATTTCTATATTTTGTTGTATTTATAATTAAATTATTTTTCATTACCTTTTTTACCATAACATTCATATATGATTTGTTTTTGTTGCTCATTTGCACGCTCCATTGCTGTAACTACTAACCAAGAATATTTATTATCCTGTATATCGGTGCCGATTTTACCAAACCGATCCAAAGTGCTAAAACAATCCATGTAGTCATTTTTGATTTGATAAAATGTACCAATTTCGGTCATTACGGTTTTTGATTGTTCAAGGATCATTTTATCTGTAAAACTGAAATTTAATTTAATTATTTAATATTTTTTGTAATTGGTCTCGTCCAGAACTGCAAGAACCTAAAATTTTCTTTATATTATAAAGGAAAAAATGTTAATAGTAAACATTTTTACAATCTTGCCCATTATGAAACGACGCTTAATAGACCTTGTCAATGCCTAAAAAGGTCATCCAGGGAGACCAGCTGGATATGAACTGCCTTTCAAGTTTACTTTCAAAATCCATTATTGTGAATTGGCCTCCACTATGATACATAAACGAAATACAATTTTTTGACATTACACATGAGAAAAACCAGCTGACTACCTCGGTGTAAATACAGTGCAAAGCCTATAAATAAGGTCATCCAGGGAGACCAGCTGGTCTCTGTCAAAATTTATTATTGTGAATTGACTTCCATTATGAAAACGTGAAAAAGTCTAATTTTTTGACATTAGACTTCAAAAAAAAGCCGACTTTGCTAGATGGGTGATATTAATAGATATTGATACAGTGTAATGGATATTTTGTGTTTATAGGTATTTATAGTTCGTTTTGCAAAAAAATATATTATTTTCAATAAGAAAAAAAAAAATACTTTTACACAATTTCCAACTTACCCAGCCAAATATAATGCAGCTACAAATGGCAAATACAAATGATCATATGACACCTTATTAGCTGCCATCGCTTTATATGTTTCCATATTAAATGTATTCACCGGATTTTTCATATATACCATATCTAAACTTTGTATACAGGCCGCAATGAAAACAGTTTCATGAAATATTTCCACCAGCTCTCGATAACATTGTAAATTTCCAAAATAATGTTTCAACAGCGCATATACCGAATGTTCAATCATGAATGCATCATTAATTGCCACACCAATTCCATGCAATTTATACCATGTTAAGTGGCCACAACGATATATACCATCATCCATAATATCATCAAGCATTAAAACGCCGATATTTACAAATTCCGTACAATAGCCCATAATGTGGGCTAAGTGTGAATTGTTTGGTAATATATTTTTCGATTTAACGAAATGTTCATAGGTCATTGTGGCAATTTGTAGAATTTTACATTCTGATTTTTCCAAATGATATTTAATGGCCTGTCAGAAGAAAAAATATAAATTGAATTTTATTTTTAAATAAATGCATTACAAAATATTTCAGAAAGCAAAATAATAAATAAAAATAAACAACATGATCTATTACAAAATCTATCAGGTCACCTATCAGCTGTTTTTTTTTCTCAAGTCTTATGTCAAAAATTTGGACTTTGTTTACGTTTTCATAATAGAAGTATATTCACAATAATGGATTTTGATATCAAACATAAGAGGTAGCTGATATCCAGCTGGTTTCCCTGGATGGATAGACCAAGGTCTATTTCAAATTAGCTGCGTATCAACTGCTTCTAAATTTTGTTTACAAAAACCGCTATTGTGAATTGGGTTCACATTATGAAAACGTAAAACTCACAATTTTTGACATTTAATTTGAAAAAAAACAGCTGTTTCCACTGTCTCTGTGTAAACTTATTAATAGGCCATTACATTTCAATTATATTTACTATGTACCTACATTTGTTAACCACTTAGATCCTTCTGGTGTACCATTTCTTTTAATAATATCACCCAGTGTATTTAGCATGACTAAAATAGAAAGAAAAGTAAATATGTAATTAAAAAAATTTGCAAGTTTATAAATGGTATGTTCCAGTACTTTTTAATAGTAAATCTAGTGAAAGGGAGTAAAGTCAAAATCACTCTCAGAGTACAAAATATTTACAAATGTTCGGGAACGGAAATCCTGTAAATATTTCAAAATTAGATGACATTACTTCAAAATCAACACAACAGAGAAAAAAGAGAACACCATTTTGTTATTATTGTTTTCTCTTTGACAACAGCTGATAAATACAAATTCTATTTACACAATTGTTATATTTTCACAATATTTCAGTACAATTGAGAAAGAATGGCATTCTTTACATTTTTTATTTGTCAAAGTTAATCGATATATAAACAAATTCAAATAACTTATCTATGTTTACATATGCTCTGTTGTAGAAACTGCAAGAATTTTTTGCTAATCGATTTTTTTCGAATTTTCCTATTCGTGGTTTTTTGAAGCGTTTATTTTTTCCGATCTAGTTATCCCTGACAGTTGTTATATTTACCAGTTACAAAATCTATTAATGAGAAAAAACAGCTGTTTTCCAATTGCCACCTGGGTGACCTTATTAATAGATCTTGGCACCAGCCTTAATTTTTCTTGCAGTAACAACAACTGCTGTTTATCTCAAGTTTAATGTCAAAAATTTGGACGTTGATTACTTTTTCATAATGTGAAGTCAACAGACAACAACGAATTTAGACATTATAGACGTGAGAACAGCTGATACAATATAAACCTACTATTACATTAGAACAATTTGCCGGGTTAACCTCCTCTATGAGGATTTAATGACATATATGTAATAATAATTTACATCTTCTGGATGCTATAAAACCCGTAAAATGTAAACGGAGTATAACAGCTAATTTAACAATCGACTGGGCCAAGGCCTATTAATAAGGTCACCAAATAGTAAAAATCAAATATAAAAAATTTGCATCTTTTTTACGTTTTTACAATGTAAAACAATTCACAATAATAGAAAATAAACGCAAACGTTAGAATCAGGTGACATGCAACTGATCTTGATCTTACTGGGTGACCTTTATAATAAACATTGGACCGGACTTAATGTGCAACCTTATATAGGCCTTGATTTCGAACGTCAACATACCTGGAAGAACTTCCTGATGACTGGAAACATGATTTGGTTCCGCTGTAAGTTGTCTAATAAAAAAATACAATTTTAAAATTTATACTGCAACTCTAATTATTTTTTATTAATTTTCCAATTTCGTACCCATTCTTAACATTTTTTGAAATATGCCTTTTGAAAACTGCATACTGTTCACCAACCATCGGCGACGAAGTTGTAAAACGTTGATATGTTTTCTGATAAATATTACCCCTTATTGGTGTAATAGTAGAGTACAAATTACGGCAAGTAGTTCTTAACAATGACAACATTATTGTTGTTTTTAATTCGAATCCGTATGGTCCGTCTATTAACGCAAGTATTTCATTTACAACTGAATTCAGTTAATGCCGTACGTGAAAAAGCTGAACTTTCGAAGCTCAAAAAATATCAGCACTTCTGTTTTCGTGTATTTGAGCTTTGACAATGAAAACCAAACAAGTCTATTATTCATCATCACCACCGGGAATATAATAAATTTTGAAGTTTATTCAGCATTATTTGGATATTTGTCTGTTTGTGATATTTAGAAACAAATGAAAATCAACGACAAAAACGGTTCATTGTACGCAAGGAAATGCATGCGTATTATTGAAAAATAAAATTAAAAAACATATAAGCGACAATGTGTATGTTATTTTAGTCAATTGCTTTAAATTATTTTCTATTTAATTATAATAATAAATTGATATGTTATTGAAAATATGTTAGTATTCTTTTCAAAAATTCCAGTACCCACAACATAGTTTGCAATTGGTATTAAATAGAAAAAACTTAAGAAATCGCGACAAAAATACTCATAAAATGACTATAGCAATCGACATGGCAATAGGACCTGAAGTCTACAACAAGGTAATGAAATGGCGAACTTTTTCGAATCTTGGTTATTCATGGGCTCACCATTGTTGGAAAGGTTATAACCGACCTGTACACTTTAGTGAACTGTACTTTTGGTTTCTTCTAGGTCAGATAGAGTTATAAAAAAAATTTAGATCATAATAGTACGTTTACATTGTGCCGGATTTCGTTAAACCTGTGGGTTTAAACCTCACGTAGTGGGTGCCAATGCCTGCGATTTGGATAAACCTATTTACACGATCAATGTATGTATTTAAAATGCATTGTAGTTTTATGTATTAATATCTAGGTTTAGTGTTAAGAAGATATTTTGAATAAAATGCGCTCACATCGAACCATGGAACCGGCAACACCGTGTATCAGTATCTTTTAATTTCTCGCGTCACACCTTGTGGTGAGCGTAGGAGCCGAACGCTCACCACAAGGTGTGACGCGAGAATCATGACCAAGATCTATTAAAAATGTCACCCAGTCAGGCGAAAGTCAGCTGTTTTCTCTAATGTCTAATGTCAAAAATGTGGCTTTTGCTTAATTTTTTTTAATGGAAAATAATTCACAATAATGTATTTTGTCAGCAAACTTAAGAGGCAGCTTACATCCAGCAGGTCTCCCTGGGCGACCTTATTTATAGGCCTTGGGTTACCCAGCAAGCGAAAGTCAGCTGTTTTCTCTCAATTCCATTGTCAAAAATGTGCCTTTTGTTTACGTTTTTTATAATGGACGCTAATTCACAATAATGGATTTTGACAGCAAACTTAACAGGTAGCTGATAATAAAAACAATCCGTCCACTGCGTTTGCATATGAATATTTAAAAAAAAACCAAGCATTTTGACAGCGCGATGGATATCATCCGAGCCAAGAAGACCATTAATAATATCATCCAGAAAGCGAAAAAACAACTTTTCTTTCTGAAATTGAATGTGGCAAATTTTATTTTTATATTTTCATTATTAAGATATTACTAAAGCGGTGTACACACTATCATTTTTGACTGTCAACTTTTTTATCGATTACTGACTGTCCAACAACCATAAATATTTTTGTGGTTGCCTGATGAATGACAAACATGTAAGGCCACACTATCAAACAAGCAAAATTTGGGCAAGAGTGTCATTCAAAAATGCTAGTGTGTACACCGCATAAGTTCACCCAGCAAGCATATGTCAGCTGTTTTTTCAAGTCTTATGTCATAATGAAAATCACTTCACAATAAGGGGTTTTGACAGCAAAATTGAGAAGCATCAAATATACAACTGGTCTCCCTGTTTGACCTTGTTCATAATGTAAAATCAATTCAGAATAATGGATATTGACAGCAAACATGAGACCAGCTAAATTGGAGCTGATCTTCTTGGCTAGGCGTATTATTAAGATTTCATAATAGAAGTCAATTCACAATAATGCTTCTTGACATTAAATTTGAAACAAATGATTTGCAGCCGACCTTCTTGGGTAATGGGCAGGGAGCAATCAAAATATTAGACTTTATTAACGATTTTATAATGCGAAGACTATTCACAATAATGCATTTTGACAGTTAAATTGACCTTGTTAATAGACCATGCCTTGTTCCACATATTTGACATATTACTTGAGAAATGACAGCAGTTTTCGCTTTCTCTGCGACTTTATTAATAGACCTATGAAACTTACCTTATAAACAGGCCATGTATCCACCAGCTGATTGACATTCTTCCATGTCTATTTGTAAACAACATACACACACAACACGATGATATTGCCGTTTTGCATTACATTCATTCGTAAACATCATCAATCTCCATTCGTCGTTTTGTTTCGATTTTGGTTTTTATCAGACATTCTCTTCTGTCCACCGCTATTCGTAGCATGTGGTCGTTGTGATTGACTCAACACAGCGCTCGAATTGGATTGGAGTGAAAATTTAATTCTTCTTTTGTTTATTTTTTTAAATTATTAACATGCCTATTCTGTGTAAATCGAAGTGTGGCAATAAGGCTGTACTCAAGGTAATTACATCGCCCGTTCGAATTGTTTATAACTCCGATTAATGTTGAGTACATTGTTTTTTAGCGTCCCAAAACCGCCGATGCCTTGTGTAAGGAATGTTTCTTTGCTGCTTTCGAGGCGGAGATTCATCACACAATTGTTTCGAGTAAACTATTTCGTCAAGGTGAAAAGGTGGCGGTGGCAGCAAGTGGAGGCAAAGATTCCACAGTATTGGCCCATGTGTAGGTAGAAATATTTGGTCTATGTAAATCAGCGATAGTGGCATTTATTTTTGTTTTCTTTTAGCTTAAAATTACTCAACGAACGTCACAATTATGGTCTGGAATTAGTCCTACTGTCCATAGATGAAGGAATAACAGGCTATCGCGACGACAGCTTGGAAACCGTGAAAAAGAATCGCGATGACTATCAAATGTCATTGAAAATTTTGTCATACGAAGAGCTATACGGCTGGACTATGGATCGTATTGTTGCCCAGATTGGTCGATCGAATAATTGCACATTTTGTGGTGTATTTAGAAGGCAGGCCTTGGATAGGGGAGCCAAGCTGTTGGGTGTCGACAGTATAGCCACGGGACACAATGCTGATGATATTGCGGAAACAGTTATTATGAATATACTACGCGGTGATACAGCTCGTCTCAGCCGTTGTACAGATATAAAGACAGGTGGCAGCGAAGATTCCATACCCCGGGTTAAACCTCTCAAGTACACCTATGAAAAAGAAATCGTAATGTATGCCCACTATAAAAAATTGGTTTACTTCTCGACGGAATGTGTATTTGCACCGAATGCCTATAGGGGTCATGCACGAGCATTTCTAAAAGATTTGGAAAAGGTACGCCCATCGGTTATAATGGACATAATACATTCGGGAGAACAATTACGTTTTAAGGACACGGTCAAGAAACCTAAACGAGGTATTTGTGAACGTTGTGGTTTCGTTTCGTCGCAACAACCATGTAAGGCATGTGTCCTACTGGAGGGTCTTAATCGTGGTTTACCCAAGCTGGGTATTGGCAAAAAGTCCAAAGGTGATCGTATGATTGCCAATCAGGAAAAAGAATTGGCACTGAGGGACAAGGCGAATTTGGTAAAGAATGATTTTTAGCGAAATAAAGTAAATGAGTTTAGTAAAAAATATCCATATTGTAATATGCGTTTTTTATGGACGTGATAAAAAATTGCAAATAAAACCAAAACTAGACAATCGGACAAAAATATATATGTGGGACGTGTATCAAAATGCAAACCGATTTAAAGAAGAACTTTCGAATTAAAAAAAAATCTTGAGGTCCATAGAAAAGTATTCTTTAAACGATCTTCGGATTTAAAGTAGGTTTGAGAGGACCGATAAATCCCATCTTACAACACTATACAGGCATGAACATTCATGAATCATTTGTGCAAAATTTATGAAAATCGGTCAAGTAGTCCCTACGATATTTGCATTTGAATTCAACGATGTTTCGAAATATACTTACTGTTTGGTGCTTGGCACCTATTACCTGAAAATGAAAAACCGCACAAAAAAACAAATTTTTAACGGCATGTTTTCTTTCATAATAATAATGACTGCAGTTTCTTTGTAAAGAAATTTATAGCATACTTTTAGGCCAAACAAAGTATGTAAATAGTCGTGTTTTTAAATTGATACGTGATCGTTTTCTATGTACAAACTTAATGTAACATAACTTTACATACATATACACAGTAGTGTACACAACTCTATCATGACTGAATCGAAGCGGTGAAGAATAAAAATTCCGAATATATATGATGCATGATAGCGGCAAGTATGGCAACATCACATTGGGCAAATTAAAGGGATCTAAAAACCGTAAATGAAAACCGGTGTTGACGACAATCGACGTGTAGATCCCTAATGCTAATAACAGCTGTTTTTAAATATTACATTTGTCTGCGAGTTCTGTTCACTTTATATAGGAAACATTCATCACCTTTGCCGTCCAAATAAATTGATCACCGGTAAATATATATTTCATTTAATATTGTAATGATTTTTTTAAATTAATACAATTTTCGTCCTTTTGTTTTTTTATAGTTTTGTTCCTTTGCAGTACTGGCGCCAACAATTTTGCACTAAATGCTCACTTGAACTAGTTCGTTAGTAAGCTGCAAAACACTAGTTTGGGAAAATATAACTGGCGATTGGTTATTGTGAATGCTTTATTTGAATATTGGAAGGCAAAACAAATCACAACTTAGACAAGCCGCGCAATTTCTCTTTCTCTAATTTCATCAGACAAGGCATCCATCCAGAAAAACAATCACAACTTATATCAAGGCTTTATATTAAATTTAAGGAAAAATAATACACCCAATGTCCAATATAATATGAGCGATGACAGTATTTCCCATCACAAACAATTTAAGTACTGTACAACAAGACTAAAATATAGACAAGGACGGGAACTTAAGGCTGTTAAGGTATGTTATTTGCTACTCATCATTTGCATCCATGCACATTTGATCTGATAAAATATTATTTGCAGGTCTACACCGTTGCCAATGAATCGTTGCATTTACTTTGTTTTGGTGTACCCAAAATAAATTTACACAATGAAGTGAAGCAGAATTTTCGCCGATTTGGTGAGCTATGCCATGTGAGGAATGTTACGGCGGAACTGCTGGAAAAGGGTGCCGAATTGGAGGCATTTACTGAAGTATTTTGGATTAAATTCAAAAAAATATTTGATGCTCGCAAAGCTAAGAAATATTTAGATGCCAAAGAATTCTATGGTGGTATACTGCATATATCTTATGCTCCGGAGTATGAAACAATGGAAGAGTTGCGGGCTAAGCTACAACACAGAATGTCGGAAGTAAAATATCGTCTGCGTGTCAATGCGAAACAACATAAAATGATGAAAAATGAGGAGGAGAGCACGGAATAATGTACAAATTGTTTTTATATCACAAAAATAAATTTAAATATTTAGTTATGCATATTTTTTTGTTTGTTATAAATAGTTAATAACATTTTATAAAATATTATTTTTATTTTGCATAAAAATATGTTCTAATACATTTATGTACAGTTTTGTTGTTGTATTTTTGTTATGATAATGTTATGTTTCTTTGCACTAATCTGATAGGTAAACAATTTATTGCATCAACTTCAAATAATTCGCCTATTTCGTTTTTCGCCAATCGTGATACATTGTCAACAGAGGAACGCGCTTTTGCCAAAGTTCTGGCCCATAGAAAGTCCAAAATCTAAAGAATTGAAAAGAAAAGCTTTGTAAATTATGAGGGGAAATTGAATAACTACAATAATTTAAAAGTAAAAAAATGCTGACGGATTGAGTTTTTTATAATCTCCACTATGGAATTCGGGCTATCCTTTTATTGGGGATATACCTTAGAAATATTTGTTGCTCAATGAAAGCTCAAAAAAACAATTAATGAAGAAAAATTTCCAAAATTCTGAAATACACTCATACTTACAGTCCAAATATAGCTCCACCTAAATGTGCGGCATGATCGAAAAATTTCCAACCCATTATGCAACCAGCCAAATCGATACCCATAATTACTTTAATTGCTGTTCCGGCAGAAAATGTTAACATTGGTAAAAATAATATACTCAGTTGTGTGTCGGGATATTGGGCGCAGACATATGCCAATACAGCCATTATGGCACCGGACTAAAAAAAAATTTTTTTAATCAAAAATGTAAAAAAAAAATTCGGAAAATCATCATATTACAGCTCCTATAGAGAGACCAGCTTGTACTGTCAAAGCTTTATAAAGAACACTGGCTAAACTTGCAATAACACCAGCACTCAAATACACAGCCAAAAATTGTTCCTTGCCCAGTGACAAAACAGCCAAATTTGAAAAACTATGCAGCACATACATATTGGCGAATAAGTGAAAGGCCGAATAATGGCTAAATGTTGACAGGAACATGGGCCAACAAACCGCTTCTATAATTACCAAAAATGATTGTTTTAGAGTTACAATGTAATCGTTACACACACACTTACTTGCTGCTGGATTGGAACAGAAATATTTCATCATTGTTGCTCTCAATGCGGGTACACGCCACAGACCAAAGACTAAAACATTTGCAGCACAAATGGGCACAAACACTTTTTCGCCAGGTGACAAACGTTCCCACAATCGTTTCACATCACGTTTAATACTCTCCCATGGATCTTCATCGCTGGGCTTTCTTCGTATCCAACCCAATTTTGCCTGTCTAGCCTTTTCCAACATCATGTTACGGGTGTTCTCATATTCCATTACCGTTGCCCCGGCAAAAGCTCCAATACTAAACTAAAATAGATACGTGTCAAAGCTATACTCTCTGTGCAAATATGCATAACCACCTACCGCTCCAGTAAAAATCAACGCCTTGAATACATTTTCTGATGGTACATTTCCGCCACCAACCTCACCCAATGGTTGTATGACAGGTCCAGATGGTTTTTTCGATGGCGCCGATGTGCGTATTTGACGAAATACAGGTGTTGTCCGTGCCTCTGTTGAATGACCAACATGATGCAATAACAAACGTTGGCTTGTATCCCGGCCGAATTGTATTGAGGTATCCCTAAGAAATATGAAAATTTCAATGAATTTTAATTGAAAGTTCCAAATTTATTGATAGTACCTTAGCTGTGTTTGCCAGACACATCTGCCCAGCCGTAAAATCATTTTCAAATTTTCGTAAATTTCCCAACAACGTCCAATTTATTTTTCAAAACCACGATGAATGAAAAATCACTGTGAACAATAGTCTGAAATGCAGTCAAATTTAAAAGCGATCCAAACGATACGAATTTGGAAGACAAAAGAAAAATAATGATAAAAAATTAACACAAAACAAAATTTCTGTATTAATTTTGTGTTTACGAAGGAGGCAGAAAGAAAATTTTTAAATCAGCTGACTTATAAAAGGGTTTTATAAGTCGATTTCTAATATAATCGGATATTTTGGAAAGAGCCAATGCAACTCTAAAATTATGGCTTTTTATGTCACAATAAATATACAACTATTAAAAAATTAAAAAAAATATATGTACTAGATTTTGTCTTCAAGTACAGAAGAATTGGAACAACTTTTAATTCTTAAAAACAATTGGGAGAATTGAAACAACTTTTAATTCTTAAAAAAAATTCGACTTGTGGAAGATTATATCTGAAACTTTGTATAGGAACAATTTTTAATTCTTAAAAATAATTCAATTTAAAAATATTTTGAAGGTTCTGGAACTAAGCATATAATAATAAAACTGTAGAATAAAAGATAACCATGTGTATACGACACATGGAATGGTTGCTTGAATAATAGATTTCTGATACTCCAATAGTAAAATGGCATTTACATGTGAACTTTTTGTCAGGTTAAACTCCTCTATGATGATTTTTTCATGGCCTCATCGGCTATATGCGTTCCTACGGAAGCGATTGTTTGGTTCTAAGGAGATGGAGACAATGTCACCACTCAATAGAAAGGTATTTTTATAATTTTTAACCCGAAGTTCCGTGTCGAAAAACCGGAAACTCCCCCAAGAAAACATATATCCCCATCATTAAGATAATAATACCAAACTCTGGAAAAAATTAAAAAAATCTGATAGTTTTTATTAAACTAGAGTTGAGCCAATACTTGGACATAACAAGCTTCAAAGTGTGTACCGGACTTAATTTCATTTAAGTTACTTGGTAACTTCTTCAAAATATGTTCCGGTACTTGATATCACTAGGAAGAACGGTACATTTGAATCGTTGAAGTTTCATTTTAGCGTTTCTTTATTCCACCTATAAAATTCCACACGACAAAATCCCTGAAAGGATGGCACTGCGAATAGAAGAAGCTATGGATTTGTCCTTGGGTAAATAGCCAATCTATATTCAAATTATCTCACTTTTTATGCATAAATTTGTATTTTAGACGAATACATAGCCATGACCAAAAAACCGAATGATGTTAAGAAAGGTCCAGCAGCAACATCAGCCAACAACAACAGCCTTAATGACGCCAAGTTCGGAAGGCGTAAAAACAGCATTGTGGATGTGGATGAAGACGATGACGAAGAAGATGATCTTGATTTATTTGCTAAAGAAGATGAGCTTCTGGCAGAGGAAACAATTACAACAACAACAAATGGAAATGATACGGGAATATGGAAGGGACCTGATTCTTCAGTGGCATATTTAGATTGCACAAATCGGCAGCAAGATTTACGAGAACGCATCACAAACAACGCTGGCAATAATAATAATGGAAGAAAACAACAAATATCAGCGGTACAATATCGACTGATGGCACCTAATAATTCTGCAAATCGTCCACGTGGATTACCGACACTATTGCCCTTGGATGCCTATGTTAAGAAACAAACTAATAATAATAATGGTGGCAACAGATGGTATCTCAATCGAGGCCGAAGGCGTAATCGAAATCGTGGAAATCCAAATGGCTTCAACAATAATAATTATAACAACAATTTGAAATTTGCTGGAAACGGCGGCATATCAGCCGTTAATAATGGTCGTGTTCAACGTAATAGAAATCAGCAGGATTACAGGTATAAAATTGTAAAATATTGTACAAAAAATTGAATTATCAAATGTAGAAATAATAAACAACGAAATTCTAAATGTATTTTTTTTTAATTTTCCAGCAAAAATTTAAGACTTACCGTGGATTGTAATGAATCGATAAACCCGATGAACAACAATAATAATAACAGCAACAACAACAAACCTAAAAACATATTCATTGAGTGTCCAAGAGTTTCTACTAATATGAATTCTTCCACTTTCAATTCAAGTTTTCAAATGCCATCTCAGTCGCAGCCGATGCATGCGGATGATTCGGGTAATAGATTTATTCCAATTGGAAATCCAACACCACAGGCTCAGGCAGCCTTAAATTTACAATCAAATGCACTACTGCAAACACCCAACAATAGTTCCAGTGATAGCCTTAAGGATTTGTTGGGATTTCAAGGCAATTTGGCTGGTGATATGATGCCTGTGTTTGCTTCGCGTTTATTAGATCTGATTAAAAACAATGTTCAAACACCTGTACATAAACCAATCTATGATATGAAAATTCAAAAGGATATACATGAATTACAGGTATGTTGCAATATTTCCATATACCAACAACATGCAGAATTGTTAATTGTTATATATTTCATTTGTCATTAGAAAAAACCTCTTGTCTATAAATGCCCTGGTGGCGATGTGGTAAGCTCAGATGGTGCTGGAGTCAATTGTCAAATTACACCAAACACGAGTGGCATATCAATGAATTGTCGCTTTGCATAAAATCGCATACGAATTTTGAATTGAATGAATGAATTACTACCTAGATAACAGATTTGAGTTTCTCTATTTTTTTAATTCAACTGAAATATTTTTTTTATTTTAATTTTCTTTTATATCTTTTTACGAAATAACTGTAAGTATTATTGAAAGTGGTAACTTTAATAAAGCGCAGCATATATGTTTTGGTTTCAAAAAAATAGATTTTATTTTTAATTAATAAACAAGTATAAACGATGTTAAGGCCCGATCGAACATTTTATACTCCCCACCATGAGGATGTCATTCAAAAAATCTAAAATTAATGGGGTCTCCTAGGAGAAAACATGGGTTATGATAGGATCTTGACCTTAAGAAAAAGATGATTTAAATTCTCAAAATACCTAAGACGGGAATAGATATTGATAATTTTTGGGTCAATATTAATTGTTAGTACGGAATTGGGGGGTAACCATTATGTAGGTGCTATTTTCAAACTTAGCTCAATATTAATATTTTTGGTAGCCTATTTGGCTGAAAATCGTTTGAAAATCCCCAAAATACCGTAATATAGGGGCTACCCAGAAACTTGGGTCAATATTAATATTTTTTGGTAGTGAGATTTGAACCCAAAATATCAAATTTGTTTAGAAAAGGGGTCCAAAGGACCGAATACCGCGTGGGGACCCCGTTCTATGGGGGTTTCCAAGAAACATGGATCAATATTAATAATTTTTAGTAAGGATGTGTTATATAATGAGAACCCATAATACCAAATTACAAACAATTGGATTGAAAAATGTGTCCAAATTTTGGGGTCAATATTAATAATTTTTGGTAGTGAGATTTAACACCCAATGAGAACCCCAAAAATGTGTCCAAAATCGCCAAAATACCGAATATTGGGTGGGGGTACCTTTATATGCGGGCTACCCTGAAATTCGGGTCGATATTAATTTTAAATTTATTTTTGGTAGTGAGACTTACCGACCAATGAAAACCCAAAATACCAAATTACAGCCAATTCGCTTGAAAAATGTGACCTAAATCCCCAAAATACCGAATATTGGGGGGTACCTTTATATGGGTGCTACTCCATCTAAAGGTTCTCCGAATTGCCCATATTTGGATTTCATAAAAGTTTTTCAACTGCATTGCCTCTAATTTGATATTTGGGTTTTCATTGGGTGTCAAATCTTAGGTCGACTTTTAAGTGCAACCAAAAAAATAATATTTTAACATTTCGAAGGGGTTGCAATTTTTCATTTCGGAATATGGCATATAATTGATTTTTTTTTAATTCAATACTTAATCATTTCCTTTCTAAAATACCCGATTTTTTACCCTCCAATATTTCAAACTAACGGCCCTTAATGTCTTCATTAATAAATCAGCTGTTGTTTGGCCATTCATTCTCCGTGCATGCATGCATGATCTGTCATTGTGACAATACGTATTAAGAGAGGAGAGATTAGAGTGGGTTGTGAGCCAAGAACGAAAAATAAAATGAAAATAAAAGACTGGAATGGTTCTACTTCAGAAAGTGGAAATATTACTGATAAGGAATAATACAAAAAGTATCTACAAGTACCACATTATGGCACAAGTCGGATGTGTTAAAGGCAAACATTTGCTCAACAGTTGGATTTTGGAAGTGATTTAAGACAGATAGGCGGGCGCTCAAATCGCAGAAGTGTTTTGTGGTGAAACCAAAATACAGCAGCAACAACAACGACGACAACTATAAACAAATTGCCGGGCCATATGAGAGAATATTGTGAAGATAATTGCATTACGTTGTTTTGTTTTTCGATTTTATCAACATCGGTTATTTTTGTGCAGTGTTATGCCGGTGCATTTACCTCTGGCCTTGTGAGATTGCTTGGAGAATTTTGAAAGAAAAATAGAAATAAATTCAAATAATTCTACTAGTGAGCAAAAACAAAATAAATTTCCATTATTAATGTGACTACAAGTAATTTTCGAAAACAGCTGCAAAGAACAAACAAGATCAAAGGTCGAATATATTTGGATCTCTTCTTTAACACCTTACAATTTTACATTCTAATGTAATTGTAACGAACAAAAAACCAATAACTTCGAAATGTTTAAATCAAAATCATTTTTGCAAGGCTTTGCTAAGGGTAAGTAGAAACCCATCCCCAATAGAATTCTTGCTGCTACATTTAAAAATTAAATGTTTCTGCTTAATACGTATGTAGGAAATTTTGATAATGACTGATTTGGCTCTACTGATATTACTAGTAATGCGCATTGTTGGTGTCCATTACGAGTTGAAAACCCGAAACACTTATATACAACAATTCTTGTATATGAAATGTATATATCAATATTTCTTATCAGTTCAGTTTCATTCATTCTAACACACATATTAACAAATTTCAACCATCCATCGGAATCACAGCTGTCATTGTGTTGATCGTTTTGGAGTGGAAGCGGGAAATATTTGTGTTTTTGGACTTATCTTGATTTTTGAATTCTATTAAAAATGTCTATATTCTCATATTATAAAACGTTTTACAATACACACATATTACAGATAATACAGCGTTAATATTATATTTTTAAAAAGTGAAATGTGATTTATAACATATACCACAATATGAAATTATATTTATTTCGATTCAATTTATTTTTACTTAAGGAGAAAGGGTTTAGGGGTGTGTGTGTATAGCAACAATATTCGTTTGGTATTTATATTTTTTAACATCCCATTGTCTAAAATGCAATATGCTATATGAAATTAATTAAAATATGTGTTATCATTAACTGATTGTGTTTTAGAACATTTTTGACAATTTTATATTTTATCTTTAAGAAAAAAATTAAATCTTGATTAACAATAATTACACTGTGCAACACAAAAAACAATTACCGGGAAGTCGTTTCCACGACAGAGGGGTCTACGATCTGAAACGACCCGAGACTTACTCGGCCAACGTCTGTTACCTCAGCACACTGTGTAAAAGTAATAGGGCTGCTACAACAACAACATTACCGGGAAATTCCAAAAGATTATGAAAGAGGGGCTTAAAAAAGATGACACGTGTATCGGCGCTTTGAAAATATACGGGGTGATTTAAAAAGGTGGGCAATATTTTCCCTTTCCAAGAATTTTGATAATTTTCGAATTATGATTTCTTGAAATCCTTGCATTTTAGGTGCATAGAGTTTTCGGTAATATTACTGATACATTATCGAGAAATATTTTGGTATACACTTTTAACTCTCAACCGACTCATTGAATGGATCTTTTTGGTTCACCTTTCCAGAAGTGATTGAAAACTCTTTCAATACGGGGTTAAAGCTGCTCAGAATATTCTACAGAAATGTTCGCCATAATGTTTTACTATAAGTCTCTTAATAATTATGTACATTCTCTAACCGATATAATGGTAAACAGGTGAAGTTTATATTTTTCATTCCGTTTTAAACACCTCGACGTATTCATCGGAGGTCCCATAGAGTTTTCTTGATTAAAATAAAAAACAAGTAAAAATGGTGTGAAGTTCGTCCCCCTACCATGAGGTTGGCATTCAAAATATCTAAAATTAATAGAGGCGCCTAGAAGAAAACTCATGATAAGACCTTGAACATATCGAAAAAGACGCAATAAAAATGTTTTAAATTCTCAAAGTTGAAAGCTACCGTTATATGGAGGCTATACCAAAACATGTATCGATATTGATAATTTTTGGTAGTAAGATTTGGCACCCAATGGGAACCCAAAATCGACAAAATGTCAAATATTTTAGGTTTGAGGGCTACCCTGAAAGTTGAGTCAATATAAATTATTTTTTGTTGTGAGATTTGACACCCAATGACAATTACAGCCGATTTGGTTGGAAAACGTGTCCAAAATCGCCAAAATACCGAATATTTACTGGTAGCCCCCAGTAAATGGTGGAAGGTAAGGTGATGTGGTATACAATAATAAACTAAAATACCAAGCTACCACCAATTCGGTTGAAAAAAGTTTCGAACATCGCCAAAATACCGAATATTTCGGATTACCCTTGTATGGGGGCTACCCTGAAATTTGAGTCTATATAATTAATTTAAGGTAAGGTGATGTGCTATGCAATAATAAACTAAAATACCAAGCTACCACCAATTTGGTCGAAAATCGCCAAAATACCGAATATTTTGGGTTACGCTTGTATGGGGGCTATCCTGAAACTTGAGTCTATATAATTAATTTTTGGTAGTGAGATTCGTCACCCAATGAAAATACTGAATACTAAATTTCACTTGATTTGGTTAAAAACGTGTCCAAAATCGCCAAAATATCGAATATTCGGGGGTACCATTATATGGGAGCTACCACGAAACTTGGGTTTATATTAATGATTTTTGATACGACTGTGTGTCATATAATGCGAATACAAAATAGCAAATTAAAACTAATTTAATTGAAACGTGGACCGGTATATCTCATTTGCAATACCAAACATCCTAGAAGTAATATCAATGTCTGTGCAAAATTTCATAGCTCTATTTTAAATATTTCGATCTCTCTTGTCATGATTTTAACGGACGGACATGCGAAAATTGATATAGATTTTTATTTTGATCGAGATTATATATACTTTGTGGGATCTTCGATGAATATTTCTAGGTTTTGCAAACGGACAGACAAATTTATATACACTTCACCTTATGGTGCCTTGATTTTTTGGACAGTTTTTGTATACAATTTCCAAAATGATTGTTTTTTATAATTATTTTTAATCATCAGTGATTTTTTTTTTTTAAATTTAATCGCATTCCAACAAATGTTTGTATGTAGTTGTTTCTAGACTTTCTTTTGAATGACTATTATTTTTTATATTTTTTTGTTGGTTGGTATTATATTTCAAACATATACCTCCTTATCAAGACATATCTATGGGGCAAACACTTTTGAACCAACCAGATGTTGGGAATATGATATGTCGGCTAGACATAGACCTGTAAAGATTAGTTTGTGCTAAAATGATATACATTGCTATATACTACCCCACCTCCCATGACATTTAAAAAGGTTCGTTTTTTTAATTATTTTTAGATTAACAATAATATTGGCAAAAAAGGGTTTATTATAAGAAGAATATATTGGGTATGTACATACATATGTACATATAAACATATTTAACTATACAACAACGAAGCTACGCATTCTGTTTTAAGTGCAAATTTATTTTTAATGCGAGGCATTGTGGTTGAGGCTTTATTTGTACATTAATAAATAACATATAAAGTGCGTCTGTGTTTGTAGTTCAATTATTAGTATTGTATTGTTATTAAGATAGCAAAAATGTATTTTACAATTTACAGATTTTCTCTTTTACTTGACCTTAGTTAATAATTTAAAAATAAATTTTGTTTCTGCTTCATTTTAGAATTTCTCTGTACACACCGAAATGTATCGATCAGTAAACATGTTACAACGCCACCGTTGGATCCAACAAATTTTAAATTACAAAGAGCTCTGTTGGTCTCCAAATTGTCTCGTTATGAATTCGAACAGCTAAGGCACCCGAAACTAAATCCACAACAACTGGAGGCAAAGCTGAGAGATCGTGGTACTGATTTCGATGCTCTTATGTATTTACATAATTTACACAAAGATTTTGAACGTACCATTGTGAGAAGTTTTCAAAATGTTGGATGTGAGGTGAAACTGGCCAATCGGTATGTCACAATCGCACGTAATAAATATCATTGATTTTTGTGTAAATAATGTTGTGTCTTTTCATTTCATATCACCAAACCACCACCACCCGCCATATTGTCTTGCATTGTAAATCGAAACATCATTAAATACATAATAATCCGACTTAATACTTTATACCACCCACCTACACAACACACCAAAAAACAACTGATGTTGTGCCTTTACACATACGTATATGGCCAAAAACAAACACACACAACTACTCCACCACATTACCCTTTTAATCTAATCAGAGTCGAATTTAGAAGCTCTTTAAGCAAGGATATAATGCGTTGGGCTGATGTTATTGTGCCAATAGGAGGTGATGGTACATTTCTACTGGCTGCTGGTCGTGCCAGTCCCCTATTTGCCCAATCACAACAAAAGACACCGATTGTGGGTTTCAACTCAGATCCGCAACGTTCTGAGGGTCGTCTGATGCTGCCCAAACATTATTCAGAGAATCCTGCTGATGCTGTGGCCAAAATTAAAAGTGTAAGTTGTAAAAAATATATATTTTACATTAAAAAATATATTTTTCAAGATTTTTGCAAGGAGTGGATTTTTTTTAAATATTTTTCAAGATAAAAAATTAAATTTATAATTTTTACAAAACTATATTTTTTAAATTTTAGAAGGCGTGGATTTTTTGAAAAATATATTTCATGATTTTTATCAGGCGTGGATTTTTTAGAAAGTGTTTTTTATAATATTTATAAGCCGTGGATTTTTTAAAAAAAATTTTTCACAATCTTTATAAGCCATGGATTTTTTTAACAAGAAATTTTTATTGTATATATTTTTTTAATAAAGACTTACTTTTTTGTAGGTTTTTGGATTAATATTTGAGTTTATTTATTTAATTTTTTAATTTGCAGGGCGATTTCCAATGGATGCACCGTTCCCGTATACGTACCACCATTTTAGGCAATAATGGCCATATACCCGAATCGACAGATCTATATCGTCATTGTGTCTCTAAGATGGAACAAGAAAAGACTGAACCTCAGTATTTGAGTAAAGAAATGGCGAAAAAATATAAAGCCAAAATGCATCGTGTCCTACCATATTTGGCCCTAAATGAAGTATTTATTGGCGAATCGCTGTCGGCTCGTGTTTCACATTTACAACTGGTTGTGGATCATCAGAATGTGGTAAATAAAACTAAATGTTCGGGGTTGTGTGTAAGTACAGGTACCGGTTCCACATCGTGGCATACGAGGTAGGTTATTTTTTTTACCCGAAATATTTGATTTCAATATTTATATTAATTGTATTTTTTTCGATCAGCATAAATCGTGTTAGCAAAAAACACATGGAAGATTTATTCCACATCTTGCCCGAATCGGCAAAGCAAGCTCTGAGCGGTATCAGTATCGATGAGTTGGTGCAACAATATAATCAGAATTTACTTTTCCCTCCAGGTATATAGCAAAGGTATATTTGTATTGTTATAGTTTTTGATATCATTTTTGTATTTCAGATGATCCTCGCATTTGTTACTCGATTAGAGAACAAATTTGTGTAGGTGTTTGGCCTAGCCCTAAAGATTTTGAGTCGCGGGGTTTTGTTAAGAATTTATTTGTGAAATCTCGTTGCATCGATGCAAGTAAGTGTGACTTTTTCCACTTTTTCCTTCATTAAAAACTTTTTTCAATCATTTTTCTATTTGAAATCTTTGAAACATTTATTAAAGAAGTCATTTTTCATGTTCACATATTAATTGCAAACATATCCTTATTTACAGATTTGGTTATAGACGGCAGCATTTCATATCCCTTCAACGATGGTGCCAAGGCTTTACTAGAGATTCATCCCGAAGATGCTTTATTAGCCATTAGTTTGGACTGATTATTTTGTACGATTATAAAAAAAAAAACAAATATTTATCATTAATATTAGTTTTTATTTTTAATTTAAAAGAAGAAAAAAGTGGACTTATTTTATAAAATAAAAAAGTTTATCTGTAATTTTAAGTTGTGATAAGCATTTTCTATATATTACATAAATGTCTATTGTAAATAAAACAAATTTAAAAAAAAGTTCGTTATGTTTTCTTTTTTATTTTTTGTCCAATTAATAGTGTTTTGGTTTTCTTATTAGGTAGAGCGGTTTTGAAACGTTTATCGGCTTTTGTCTTTTTTGTATTCTTTTGTTCGGATGCATCTTTGGCATCTGTGTTGTTGTTGTTGGATTTTTTCTTTTTCTTCTGAAAACGTTCGGCATTGACATCCTTAAAACGTTCATCTTGCACCAGAGGGGAAGGACCTTGTTTTTGCGCCTCGCTTTGTTGTTCTTTGCGTTTTCTTTTGATTTCCTTAATTTTATCTTTTTGTTTTTTGCGATATCTGGAAAAAGAAAAATATATGGAATAGATAAAGATGATATTTTCAGATATTTCAGGGGACTCTTTCCAAAACATACAAATTTTCCATTTCATCAGGATCTTTGCCTTCCAATATCCATTGTTTTCTCCGATAGTTTTGAGCTCTCTCATCGAAGTCATTATTATCCAATTCAATTTCGGATTCACGGCGAGTAACATTGACTTGCATGAAAATGCGCTCGACCATTTTTTCTAAAAAAAAAAAATCATTTGAAATAAAAACCGTATTCCTATTTTTTTAATATTTAACTTACGATCGATGGGATGTTCTGTTAACTTGGTATTGATGGCCTGTTCAATTTCACCCAGTAATTCCAAATCTCTTGGAAAACGGAATATCGAAATAGCCATACCCTTGCGACCAGCTCTTGCTGTACGTCCCACACGATGTATATACTCCTTGGGTGTACGTGGCAAACGATGATTGATAACCAATTGAACACTGGGTATGTCGAGACCACGTGCAGCTACATCTGTGGCAATGAGCGTACGAACATGACGAGATTTAAAACGATTAAGTGCCGCCACACGCTCTTTTTGACGCATAAATCCATGTAGACATACATTTTCTATGCCTACTTTATTCAAAGTCATCGACAGCAGTTGACAATATTTTTTCGTATTTGTAAAGATCATAACATTTGAATTTTCATCTTCTTCACGATATTTGCGTAAGGCTTCAATCAACACCATATCACGATCATAATCAGCACACAGTAAATAGCGTTGATCTAATGTCTCCACAGTGGCCACTTGGAATTCTTCGGACCATTCTAAACACTACAGAAAAAATAATAATTTTTAGTATTAAAATTAAATCAATAAAAAAATTGAATTTTATACTTACATCACCTGCAATGGGAAATATACTGCTCTCCTTGATGAAATCTTTCATGGTGGCTGAAAAGAATAAATTCTGCCGCTGCTTGGGTATACATTGTTCTATAACCCGTAGACTTTCATCAAAGTCTCCGTTTAGCATGCGATCCGCCTCATCCACTACCAAAAATTTCAAATTATCAAACGAAAATGTGTCACAGCCGGTTAAATGATCCGCCAAACGTCCCGGCATTGCCACCACAATATGTGGACGCTGCATTAGCTTTTGAGCCTCAACAATTTGATCAGTGCCACCAGATACCACACAAACTCTTACTCCCATGGGTTGGCCAGCCACCAAGAATTGTTCGGAAATCTGGAAAACAATATTTATTATTAATAAGAACAAATAAACAAATTATCTCCCCTTCCTTACCTGATAGGCTAACTCGTGAGTGGGCGTCAGAACCAAGGCAAAATGGCTTGTAGGTTCCTCACTTAATTTCTCCAAAATTGGCAAGGCAAAGGCAAATGTTTTCCCCGAACCTGTTTTGGCTGCCCCAATGCAATCTTTACCTTCCAATATAGCGGGAATGCATGCTTGTTGAATGGGTGTTGCTTGTTTTAAACCTATGAACATTTTGTTCCCCATTAAAAAGTTAGTTTTAAAGTAAATAATATGAAAAATTACCAAGTTTTGTTAATTGTTTAGTTAGCCAGGGTCTCAGACCCAATTGGGCAAAAGGATTTGTATCCTTTTTTAACATTTCAAGGTGACAATATCCAAATTAATTCTAGAATGGAAACAGAGGATCAACGACACAGCTCAACAGCAATAATAAACACAATAAACACAACACAACGTGTTCAAGAACAGCTGTCTTAGCTGTCATTCACATTGAAATGATAACACCACTCACATTGGGATGCTTTATAAACGGTTACAATTAACCAAATTAAAAAGTGATTTTAATGGAATTGTTTGAAAATAAAAATACAATTTTTAGAAGTAGAAAAGCAGGAATCCATTGAAATTCACCAAGGCTTTTGACCTTAATACGTAAGCCGATCTATATGTTGCAATCACGAGAAACCTTAATATTGTAGGCTTTTGGCCTTAATACGTCAGCCGATCTATATGTTGCAATCACGAGAGATCTTAATATTGTAGTTCGAGATTTGAAACACTTTGTTTGGTACCTAGGATTTTTAGTTTTGGTAATGGTATATATCGGTCCACTGTTTGGTAAATCCCCCAAATATCGATACCACCCTATTTTTTCGTAATTATAGGGAGCTGAACGAATATTATCTTTGTAGAAAATCATTAATAAAGCTCAATGTGTTGATATATTCCCCGTAGAGCAGTCACGCCAAACTTTAGGTATATACCGTGTACTTAGTATATTTTTCCTACCAATGTGATTGTAACTTGGCATTCCAGTGTCGAAGGGAGTAAAACAGGGTCTTCACCGTACATTTTCAAAATGTGAACATAACTTAGTACACGTTTATGCATAGCTTGCATATCCGAGCCGAATTTTCCAAATTAAGTGTATTTTGATTAAATATGCTTTTGATTGCTTCAGAGGATAAAAAACCTCCTGGTAGAACGTGTATAAATGGTTGTAGTACACTTTGAATATTCACGGAACGAACTTAATGACGTTTTCAATCCATAATACTGAGACTTTGGTTCAAGAAGGTGCATGCGCTAAATATATATGGTCCAAAGATATGAGGGATATAAACACAATATTTCAATGGTGGCAAATGGTGATAGTGAAAATCAAAAGATAACATTGAGAAAATATATATTTCGAAAATTCCATTTAATTTTTTGGCGATTACAAAATTGTTCTGGAAACATAATAATAATGTAGTCAAGTGTCCCCATTGTAAGAACTCTGTATTAGCTCGGATTAGAATTTTTTAGTGTCAACATTGTCATAATACTCCACCCATTTATTTTAATATCTTCAAATTGAAAACAAAATATTAGTGTTTTCAATATTACCAAAAGAAATCCCCATTCAAAACCGAAATAAAAAAATAACCCAATGCCCAGTTTCCTCAAAAAAACCACATTAAAACAATATCACATACAACAAATACATTTTTTGAAAATTCAAAATAATTTTGAATTACTTTTTTTATTTACTTAAAATACAAAAAACGTATCCTCTGTGTGTTACATTCTCTAGACATTTCCTTTTACAAGAAAATATCAACATCGCCAAAAATCCACCAAAAAACAAATGTAAACACACTTGCCCTTTTGGCGAATATGGATGTTTACTAGATGTCTGCATTCATAGTTTACTTCTTGGCGGCTTGACCGATCTTGGCCTTGGCGGTACCACGGACCTTCTTCATTCTGTTGCGACGTTCCTTGCGTTGCTTGCGGGTCTGTTTCTTGATTTCCATAAGACCATGACGAACCAAACGGTATTTGGGTTCGAATTTCTTGGCGAAGTCCAAGGTATCGTAGATCAAGGCGAAACCAGTGGAGCGACCACCACCGAAGCAGGTACGGAAACCGAAGACGAAGCATACATCGGGGGTAACTTTGTACATGGCGGCGAGTTTTTCGCGGATTTCAGTCTTGCTGACGGAGGCCAAGCCGGGATGGATGACGTCGCAGACCATTTGTTTTCTGGCCAACAAGCGGTTGGTCATGAATTTCCGGGTACGAATGGTGGCGGTAGACATGGTTATTTATCTGCAACAGAAGAAAAGTAACAAATTGTTAAATTCAAATTCCATTATTTGATATTTTATTGCTAACTAGGGCTTATCATTAAATGTAGCTGTTTTGATTGCTTTATTCTTGAGACACATCATAACCTCACATAATGGTGAATTTATTTTCGTGCGAGCTACACACAAAGAACACACACACGCACGCACGAATCCATCCGTCTCTAACGACTCCACGTGTTGAACATTTTTCTTCGTCAAAAATTCACTTTTTCACCAAATATTCATGAACATTCATGCCATCGCAATTTTAGCATACATTTAATGCAATATTTTAGGGTTTTTATAAATTTTTACCTGTTAAAACACTTAAAAAGTATTAAAACACGTCTTAGCAGACAAAAAAATTATTAGGAAAGGAACTGACAATAGAGTTGCAAAAATATCGATTATTTTTGTACCGACTACTTGAGAAAGTATATGAAATATGTAATTGGTATTTGTCGGGAGGTATTCACTATGATATGGGGAGGTTCGCATGTGTTGAGTGTTAAAAAAGATCGACATGTATGAAAATATAAGGACATTACATATAATTAAGTACTGTACATACTTATTATTTATTGTTTGTCCAAATTAAATAAAGAAATAGGATATAAATAAAAAAAATTACAGGGTTATAAATTTCGTAGTTTTAAAAGTAAGCGCAAATGAAACACATAGAAATATCTTTTCATGATCAAATTTTTGTTATAAATTTCGAACATTTGCTTTTGAACAGGTTTGACAAAATTACAAGATCGAAAAGTCGACTTTTTAGTCAAAAGCAAAAATCGAAAAGTCTAAAAGTGGACTTTTGAGCTCGACCCCATTTTTGTAGTAGGTTTTTATAATTTTTATGAGTTGTGAGGTAGTTAAGCGATTCGTTTTCGTTAATGTCCGACTTCTATGTACGAAATGCCCTCTACGGTTAGAAGACTTATAGAGACCGACTAATTCTATAGAACATTAACATTTTTCAATCAATATTTTTATAATTTTAATATTATTTTTGGTCTGTTCCCGTACTGCAAAAATGTACTATTTTTTACTACGATAACACTTTTTTCCTTTATGATATCGGAAAAAATAGTAAAAACTCGTAGATTCTTGCAGTACGGGAACAGACAATTTTTTACTACGATAACAAATTTAATTTTATTAACTGTCTTAGCGTTTGTTTGCCGACGGAAAACATAAAATGAAAGAAAATGCAAAACTTTTCTGCTTTTTTACTTGTTTACAATGAATAACAAAATAAATCAGAATTGCGGTGTACAAGTATATCTGTCCTTCTTTTATACCTCTCAATTCCTTCGTGCACAAACCCAATTTATTTTACCACAAAATTTGCCGGTGTGAAACAGCAGCAACATCATTGCCTTTAAGCGGAAACTCATACGAGGATTTAGGCCTGGCATGTTATGTTGGCTTTGTATGAAATGTCAACTTAACATGCCAATACTGAAGTCATTTTTATGCAGCAAATTATATTAAAACCTTTTACCGGGTTAATTAATTATGAGGATTTATTTGACATAGACTACGATTAGACTACAAAATCCACTCGATCTTAAACGTCAATTCCATAGCGTATACGTCACCTTAAGATGTTCACAAATCCAGTGGATTACATTTGACGTAATCGCAATGGAATTGACATTTGAGATCATGTGGATGCCCATGGTACAATTGTAAAAGCTAACAGCAAGTCCCAGCTGATTTGATTCCAACGTAATACTAGTGTCAATATGAATTTGACAAATTATGTTTTTAAAAATCACCCAACAGAAAAATTGGGAACGCATTCAATTCGAAATTGTTCTTTATTAAATGTCCTCCCGTATTCATTTTACTCAATCTGCCTGTTGGGAAAGTTTGAGGAAGCAAATAATTTTACTGAATAACTCGCAATTCACTGCATTTTCATATGTTGAACTAATTACAATCATGTGTTACACAAATCAGTGGCAATATCTCAATTATAGGAAAGTTGTGGAAGCGATAGAAATATAAATTTGAAAGATTTTCATTTATGTTTTCCAATTATATTTTATTTTCAAAATAAATATAATTTATTTGTTTGTTTACATATTTAATTTCAGCTGTCAAACACGTTGAAAAATCATTTTCACAAAAACAAATTTCCAATTAGATGATAGCTATGGCCTACCTTGTGTTAATAATATCACGATTTCAACCGAATTTTAAGTAATTTAAATCATGGTACAATTATAAATGAAACATGTTGTTTCAATCACAAATCATACACTTTTTCTTACAAATGTTGTAAAATGTATCTCCAAATAAATCGTTTTTCGAATATATTTTGTTATATTTATCAAAACATTACACACACAGTCACATATTTTATATATGACTTTGACATAACAAACCACAGTATGAAAAAATTGTAATAATTGTACCATGGGAACAACATCATTGCCTTTAAGGGGGAAACACGTAGTCATATATACAATGGAATTGACAATTTAACCCACTGGATTAACGAAATCCGAAGTCATCTTATGTGTTCCCCCCTTTACGATAAACTATTGGAATCCTACCACAATAAAATAATAAAGGAAAAGGAATGGGATGATTTTGTGAAGGCTGTGTTAAACCAAACATTTAACAATCATATGCTTCGTGAATAGTGCGCTTTATGCGGTTAACAATATCTAATCCGCTTTTAGTTTAAACCAAGGGTTATATATTAACACATAACATAAAATATGTGGACTAAACGTTATAACTTTTAGTTTTATTTCATAATAAATCATAATATATTTTATTTATATAATTTATAATTTAAATCGAAATGTTTTTGACAATGTACTTTACAAACAAAAAAGAAAAAGGTTTGAAACCATATGATTATCACTTACACCTTATTAAATACACCTTGAATATAACCATAGTCAGCTTTGACAAAAGCATCGATAAAATGTTCAATTTGTTTAAATTTTTTCCTAAAATACCAAATCAAATGCGACGAAAAAGCAATTATTCATTAAAATAAAATCAGTGCTGTGTTAAAAATTTGTTGTGTCCGTTTAAAAAGTGCAAAATGAATTGAAATTTTTTAAAAGATATTTTCGCCACAACAACAATTTTTGACAACATGTAGATACGGGGTTGTATATTTCTTGAAATACGCCTTCTGGATGACCTGATATTTGGTCCACGGTCTAAACGTACTTTTACTTCATAATAAATTATAAATAAAATATTTTTTATTATTTATAATTTATTTTATGAATTATCCATTTCCCCTGCTGATTTCCATATTCGATCTCTAGAACCCTATACACATTTGCCTGTTTTGTTATTCTTCTTGACATTTATCAGACACTGTTGCTCTCCACTTTACTTCGTACATACGTACAAGCAAAGAAATTGAATTTTCTCATTGGAATCAAACGACGACAGTGAAACAATAAAGACGTCGATTGCTCTCAAAAAAAGAAAAAAAAAAATTGAAAAATATAAAAAATAATTTTGGAACAAAAATCTAGTTTGTAAACTAAAAGAAATAAGATTGTGTGTGTGTGCTTTGTGAGATCTTTTAACCAGAAAAAATAAATCCCAGAAATCTTTTGTGGGAGGTATGTGAAAGGAAAAAAATTTACATAAGAAACAAAGAAATACTAAAAACATGATAAGTTCTTACATAAGTTTGTGAAAAAGACAAGTTCGATATTCGCTGAAAAAAATAGTGGGAAAAGTGTTACCCAAAAAATGACATTATGTGACAAATGTGTTTGAAAAATTTCTTTCATACACTTTAAGTTATTGCAACAAAACAAATTGTGTTCTAAAAGTAAAAGCACGTTTGGTTTTCTTGTATTGAATTGTTGCTATATCCCCCCGCACCCCCGCCAACACTCTGCCGCTGAAAATTGATTTGCTCTTTAAGTTTTCTTTTGTTGTGAATGAGGGGGAGAGAGGGGAATGGGATTCATATGACTTTCTTTCGTCTGCTCGGTAGATAGACAGTGACGCCGTTTTCCAGAGGGTGGTTGGCATTTTTTGTTGGTACTTGAAATTGACCTCGTGCTCGGTCGTCGTTTCTTGTTGTCATGTTGTAGATAAATTTGATATAGAACATGATTGATTGTGGTGTAAAATGTGCATTAGACCTTTTTGCAGGAGTAAATATAATTTGAACTTAGCAGGAATGTGAAAATAATAGAAAATATAAAGCGCTGAGTATAATTTTAATGGATGCTCGACAAAAAATACAGCATCTTCAATCCTAAAAATACAGCATCTTCAATCCTAAAATTTTTATATTATAGTTTCATATGGACGGGCCCTAAACATATCGGAAACATTCCAGTTTTAGGATGCAGTCGCGGATTTTTTATTTTTTTGCAATTTTTATCACATATAGTCCTTAAGGCCCTCATTACAGAGATATATTTACGAAAATCCAAACTTTCTGATATATGAAACTTAAAAGTTCCGCTAAGGCCCTTATACTTAAAAATGTCCATTGAAATTCGCTAATGGATATCAATTTGAAGGGGATGAAATCCTGATTGCAAAAATGGCAACAAGTCTAGTTTAGTAAAAATGATCAGATTTTTATACCCTTCACTGCATGCCCGTATGTCTGTCCATGTTAAATTGTAAACTAAGTACAGGTCGTATTTATAATTCGAATTGGATGAAATTTGGCACAGCTCATTTATTTGGCCCAAGGACGAACCCTATTGAAATTGGGAAAAATCGGTTCAGATTTCGATATAGCTCCCATATATCCTTTCGTCCGATTTTATGTAAATGGTGCACCAAAGTCCCTATATATCCTTCGTTTTGCACGAAATTTGGCATAGCGTACTAAATTAAATCTAGAGTGTTGCGTGTTAAGTTTCGTGAAAATCGGTTTAGATTTCGATATAGCTCCTCTATATATTTTCGTCCGATTTTAGGGAAATAGTGCACAAAAGTCCCTTTATATTCTTTTATTTGCACGAAATTTGGCACAGCGTACTGATTTGCTTCTAGAATGGTGAGTTTCGGGAAAATCGGTTCAGATTTCGATATAGCTCCCATATATATTTTCGTCCGATTTTATGTAAATGGTGCACCAAAGTACCTTTTATATCCTTCGATTTTCACGAAATTTGGCACAGCGTATTGAATTGAGTCTTGAATAATGAGTGGTGAGTTTCGGGAAAATCGGTTCAGGTTTCCATATTGCTCCCACATATACACATATAATCATCCCATTTTACATAAATGTGTGCACCAAACTCCTAATTTTTGTGCGATTAACACATAATTTTTACACAACGTATCAAATTGAGACTTGAATGACGTTATTACGCTTTGTTGAAATTGTTGCAGATACAGCCATAGCTTCCATATGTATTTCGAACGGGGGTGTCTGATTGAAATTACATTTTTAACATCGCGCCGTACCGAATAGCGTGTATCAATTTTGCTATA